ATGGCGGCGGCGGCGGCGGCGGTCCTTTGCAGTCCTTTGTGGTTAATGTTTGTTTTTTATGTACTCTGGGGCCGTAGATCTTTTATAGATCCGAAATGCCGTAATTTTTGCATGGTTTTGTCCATGTGTATAAGGTTGGTTTTGGCCAACTATTTATTTTGTTTGCGAGACATCAACTTGACACTTGGACTCTTGACCCCCAGAAGACACGCGGTATGGCGTGATTCTGTGGGTGTTGAGAGTTCTGAGTCAGAGCTTAAATCAGAGTGCGCGGATATTTTTCACCAGAGCTTTCTGGTTGTTACGCCATACTGACGAGCCCCAAAAAGGGTGAAACAGCTGTCTATGGCTACAATCCCGCTCTGTTTTGAGTTCTTTCGGTGTCGTGTTGATGTCTTGCAGAGTTAATTTTCACGTAGTACGATCAGCATTGCAGTATTCTGTTTGCAGAATTTAACATGTCTACTTTTCATTTTTGCTGATCAGGTCTTTATAGATCCTACGTTCTCCGGCATATTCGTTTGCGGTCCTTTGCAGTCCTTTGTGGTTAATGTTTGTACTTTATGTATTCTGGGGCCGTATAAATATAATTTTACAGATTTCCCAGACGAAAGTGGATGAGGAAATTGTGGAGTAGCATATTGTCAGGGGCACCCAACGGCAATTTCCGGGAAAATATCTGTTCGGAAGACGATTTGAGATCTAGAATTTTCGGAGCATTTGTTGTAAAATTTCTTGCTTGCCTGCCTCTCCTAGGATTTTCGAACGTCTACAAGATGGTATAATTACCCATTTTTAACGGATTTTGACCCTAAAAACGGCCACCTAGAATTTTCGGAAGCCTTTTCCTGGCTGAAAGTTTCTAGAAGATAAGTTTTTATCCCTATAATTTTCGGATCACTAGACTTTCAGCTAGGAAATCCGAACAGATGAAAAGTTTTTAGGGGATAAAAATATGCCTGTATCTACCGTTTGAATACTAAAATACGCTCAACAATGCTTTGTTAAGTGGTTTTGGACTATATCCTCGTTGGGTGCCCCTGTATTGTCGTTGTCGATCAAACTTTTTTGTTAACCGTAACTGATAAAAATTAACCGATAGCCGTAAAAGAACCAAACTTTTAGCCGATAAACCGTAAAAGCCACCACCCCATTGAGACCCTCTTCTAATTGCAATCATGTTTTAGTTCCTTGTTACAAATAGGTGAAAATTTACAGAAATTAAATTGTTTTTAAAAAGTATTTTTGCGCAATTATGCTAAAAGACTCTAGGGCAAACAATTTACAGATTGTTGACCAAGCTCTGGGTATAAAATAACAAGGTTTTTTTCTCCAGTTCACCATTTACACATAGCCAGCTGAATTACTCTGTTAAATACCAAATCCCGATCATGTATTTTGTGAAAGTACACTGGGCTTTTGTTTCATCTCTTGTATGTTTCAAACTATTATTTGCAGTTGGATGTTCAGATCAGTTAGGTAAGTGATAATTTTATCCAGTTAATAGATTTGCCCTTTTTAACCCACCAAAATAATAATTTGTTAGATTTGATTAGAAAGTTGGTTCGTACCCTGAGGGACCTGACATTTTCGAAATTGTAATGCTCTATAATAGTCTTGGAAACAAAACCTGTTGTTGTTTTTTGATGCTCAGATGAGTGTCACTCGGTAAGTTTAGCGTGGCTTACAGAGTCTGCACAACAGCATGGAGTTGTACCCGAAGAGCAACATATTGAATACGCCTGCTCCAAAGGGAAATCCTCTACAGCCGGCAGTTAATTCCTATGACACAAGCTTTCATGTCAGTTCTTTTTTTATCGCACCCATGAAAACTTTCTAACTAAACCGATTTTCTTCTTGCCGGGCTCGAAATGCGAATGCTTTCAACGTAACAGTAACTGAAACAAGACTAAAAGTAATTATATTGTCCCTGAACTGGCCTCTAGACCTTCGTTTTAGTATACTGGTTACAAGCGCAACTGTCAAGAATGGTGGGTTAAAGAGAAATTGAAAGTTACTCTCAGAAAAGAAAGGGCAATATATTAAGTTAACATAGAATTCGAAAATTTAAAGTATTTATACATCTGATATACGGTGATCCGAGAATATAGACAGCAGAAAAACTTGAAATCCTGCCTACTTTCGTTTTTATATATTATTTCCGTACGTTTAAGTTTCCTTACTGTAACTGAACATGTTAACAAAATCACGGTAACAATATTTCATTGTAATCTTTAGTACATGTAATGTTTTGTAGGCTTGTAGATCATAGAATTACACACAGAAACGATTTTACAGATCTTATGAAACTAATCCTTGACCCTGACCATGGCGTTTTAATAATCCAACTTTAAATATATAAGAAACACGTCAAATTACTGTAATTGCTCAAATAGCGAAAATAGACCTATTCGGCTAACTCAAAGTTAACTCAATGCTGTACCCAATTCAGACCGTTTGGGAATAAAACGTTCTGTTTCAGGAATTTCCATATCATTTAAATGTGAGTGCCACATTATAATGCAATTACAATACAAAAAGAATCTTAACCCCGGGAGATTTGAATTGGGTACAACCACAGATCTGTTCCGTTCACTCCTTCTCCAAGAGTTCAGTGCTGCATGCTTTTCTCTCCAATATTTACTTTCAATAGATTCTGAAGCTTGTGGAATTGGCTGGAAGCCTTTCCGTGACTCCTGCTACAAAATGATGACTTCAGGGAAGACCTGGAGGCAGGGCTTTGAACACTGTAAGTCAGCTGGCTCACAGCTTGTAAAGGTTACCGACCAAGAGGAGCTGACATATATTTACTTCACATTTGTAAAGCCTTTAAACTCTGGAAGTGCATGGATGGGACTCAGCCTGAAAAATGGTTCTTTCTATTGGACGGACGGTTCTAAGCCTCGATACAAAAACTGGAATTATGGGGAGCCGAATAATTTCAACGGAAGGGAACACTGCGTGGAGATCTATGTCAATAATGGAAAGTGGAACGATATCCCTTGTTTCGTTAAAAGACCGTTCGTATGCGAAAGAGGTATGTACTTTTTGAAAAATACTTACCTTTTTGAAGTCGCACGGAAGACTGGGTCAGTTGGAGTCAAGTTGAACCACAGGAAGTTTTTTTTGGGACATGGCGCTTCTTCCATTGGCTTCTAAAAGGTTGCTAAGGAAGCTGGGCCTAAATTCGTCCCCTAAAACAATCCCATAGTGCAACGCGACACTACGGGGACCCAGACTCAAGTGCGATCTCAAAATGACCAATCCCATATGACGGCAGAAAAATCCCACAACTAGGTTTTCAAAATAGCCTTAGATTGAGGGGGCCTAATCTTTAATGCTTGAGATAACGGTTTAAAACATTAGATTCAATCTGAATCTGACACCTTAGATACCGAATATTATGCGTTTCTTGGGGGGTCGTGTGGGATTCGAAAATTAGAGACTTCTGTTGTTTGTTAAGCATTTAATTTAACGCAGGATCATTGGTTGACGCATGTGTTAAGGGGCGCGGTATTGTTGCCATGGTAAACATGGTAAAGGTTCATTTCTCATTACTTGGTTAACGGAACTCTTTTCTTTTAATTAATTGATTCGCATTTTTTTCCAAAGATGCACAGCATATAAGTCAGTTAATTAAGATTACTCTTTCATAGAGCATTTCAGTCGGGGTGCTTGAAAATTACTAAAGAAAACGTAATTTTTTCAGTAGGCCCATGAGTTCAACATAGTGGGCCACGCCTAATACCCACTGTTGTTGCTGTCAATTTCGATGACTTCGTAAGCATGCCAATTTTTGTTGAAAATCTTTAAATATATAGTTCCTCTTCAGAGTCATCCGAGAAATCACATGTCAACTTCCCTTGGGAACGTGAATCATGCTTTGGCCAACTGCTCATTAGAGGAGTATTATGTTGCAGACATCACCGACTGCTTTCAAAGGTGTTTGGCTATTACACGATGCCTCTCGTTCAATATTGAGAACTCTGGAAAACACCTGAAGAAATGTGAGCTCAACAACTCAACCAGGGCATGGGCACGAGAAAAATTTGTGAAGAGGCCAGGTTACATATACTACGATTAATGTGAACGATGCAATATGACCTAGTGAATATTGAAGATAACCCCGTAAGTAAGCTGCCAAGATATCTTGGTCTCCAGAGAGCAGACTATAGGCGGATCCTTCACGGAAAGTCTGGTCCCGAAATAACAGGGGATTTTGTCGGAAAAAGTTTGTTTTTAATCTTCGAAGTTTTGAAAGTTATGTACTAGTATTTTTACCACCAAATAGTAATCTACCCAACAAGTGATTAAAGGGAATGTCTAGTTCATTTTCCTGACCCTTTAAGCCCCAGTATCCACATACAAATTCTCCAAACTGATCTCCATACATTTCCTTTAAGAATTAGTTGAGAGAATTTGATAAAACATCAAGGCATTTTCTCTTTCGTGATCATTTTTTATATTCTCACAACCTTATCTCTTGAAAATGTATGGACATTGTTAGGAGAAAATTGCTGTTGGTCACTATTGGGACTTAAAGGGTTAATAGACAGATTTAGATCTGAGGACAAGCACGACTACGAGTACGAGATTTAACTTAAAGTTTTTCCGCGTAATTCTAGAAAAATACTCAAACCTGAAAACTTCATTGTACTATTTTTCACATCAAAAATTAGTGCGGTTGTAATCTTTTTGGAGAAGGTTTAACCCTTTCCCGGTTGCAAAATGATTAAACTTCTAAAATTTGACAAGTATTCCCGCCACCATGACATTATTTTCGCTAAAATCTCGTAGTAGAGTGACGACGGCTATTACGTTTTCCCGCCAAAACTATTTGCTAATTAAAAACTATTTGAGAAAAGTGAATGTAAGGAGCCTATGTCCAGTGATAGTTGGGTGCCTTGTTATGTGTTCGTTAAAGGTGCATACAAACGTATGCTCTTACGACTTCCTTAGCTGTGAACGATATCGATGGTGACAGATTTTTTCGAAGACATTCCAGAGTGTATAAGTACTTTAATGGATAGAGGTCGTTTTCGTGAGGACAGCTATACGAGTTTGCATGCGTATCAAAGTTAAGTCAATATAAGACGAATTCTGCTTTTCTTTTCATTGAAATGCAAACATAAAACAAATAACATTGTAATTGGTAATTCTTTATCTGCCGTGAAAAATAAAATTTAATTAAAACTCTCACGCTTCATCAGGCCTTCAGTCTCCTTTTTTAACTGCTATTGATTCTAAACAAAATGGCATTTTTTGTTTGCTTATTCGCGCGTGACAGTTAGAAATCTCTTTAATTACGTCTCTCACTTGCCAAAGTTTATTCTAGTCTTTTAAAGAATGGAAAGATTGATTTGTCCGGAAGGTGTGGCGTTTTTTAATGTCGTGTTAGTCTTTTACCCCGTGCGAGGAGTGGGTGTGTTTTTTGTAACTTTCTCTCGCTCTCTCTCTCTCTCTTTCTTTTTTAATTGGGTCAAACTTACTGACCGAGATTTCAGCCACCTGTTTTACGGTGTAAGAATATGTAATGCTTGAGTAAACTTCGACTTATGTTCAGGGACGTAAATTGTCATATTGGTAGGAACAAGCAAGCTTCGATTGAAAGACAAAGAAATGCACAAAAAAGGGTTACGTTCAAGCCAAGATACCCAGGTAGGTTGAAGCAAGTTTAAGGTACAATGTGGCTATTGAAATTACAAAACAGACAGAAAAGTAGATAATTATGTTAAATCAGCTAAGCACCTGTTCTGACAAGTCGTAAAGAGATTACCAGAAGTGTTAATTTGATAAAGAGAAAGGGAAGCGGATTCCAATCTCAAAATAAGAAGTTAAAAAACAAACCCCTTTTTTGTAATGCCACAAATGAACAACGGTGATGAAATTTCAAAACAACGCGTACAATTTTTTTTAAAGTCTTCATTGTTTTCTGAAGTTTGAATTTGGACACCCGCTGCGTTCCGTTGATGAAGGAGGTCGTTTTCAGTAGAATCATAATCACAAGCGACATTCCTCCTCCCCTCAAAAATCAAGCTTTTTATGAGGCCTTTTAATTAACCATTACTATACAACGATAGAATTTGCCATCTAGCTTCCAACTAATCTACATTTTGATAGTTCTTTGTATCGCTTTAAAAATCACCATCTTTAGTTAGTGGCGCTCAAAATACAACCGCCTGGCAATATTATAGTTTACTTTAATCTAATCCTTAATAACATATTATTCAATAGACAAGTAAAATGAAGTATAAAGACTCTTTCTTCTGTATTTAGAAGAATCATTTTAATCATCGACACACCATTATTCGTTTATTTTGATAATGCAACTGCGTACCTGCATAAATAAAGAATGGTTCTTGACTCAACCGACCGTTTTACAAATTAAATTTCTGAATGGTCATAATGGAAGATGATTTTGTTTATTAAAAGAAAACAAATAGAATTTGTTTGGAAATTGGACAATCATTTCTTGGAAAGAACAATTTGAGGTTTTTGCTGGTAAAAAACGAGGCTAACAAGCTTCTAATTTAACATGATTATGTTATCACCTGCAGACGAACTGGTTTAAGGGCGTGTTGTGTTTAGCGCGCCTAACCCTCTACCTAATTGCCGTGAACGTTCATTTTGTTTACATCTGCTGCCATGCCTTTTATTGTCTTTCCTTATCCAAGCGTAGGATAAACGAGAGCGGAGTGTTGCTATATTATGACTGGGTAAGGTAGTAGACAAAATTAGACTTTAGGTGGATTCCCAATGCCGCGCAATTTGTACATGTGTACGCAGGCCAATTTTGCGAGCGTAAATAAAATTGAGGTTGAACTTCGATCTTTTCGCTCAACATTTACTTTTTCGCGCGGCCTTGATCATATGTTACCTCTATTTTATTTATGCACATAAATCCACCGTCCCTTGGAAATCCTCTCACTGTTAAAATTAAAGTAGTTATAGTTTTAACATCAATGCAAAGTAAGTTGCTTCATTGCCGCGGTTTGGGTTTGTTCATTTGTTTGAATGTGTCCTGACCAACAAGTGCTTGTCAATGAACCTGTCAATATGTGCGTTAGATAAATTTCTGTGAACCTTTCATTATTGGATAAATTGTGGCGTAGCGTTAATAAATTTGATGCCAAACCTTTTTTTCATCATTGCAGTGAGGTTGAACTTCAATCATAACCGACGATGGGATTTACAAGAACCTTTCTCTTGTTATCCATGATAATCATCATTACAGTGTCTGCTGTAAGATGCCTAAAAGTTAAAGTTCATGACAAAGCAAGTTCCTCTGCCCCAGGCCTGACAAAACACAAGGCGAGAGAACTTGCGGCAAACCCATCTGCCCTGATTCACGAAGCTCTCAACCTCGTTCGAAGACGGCGAAGTCTTGAAGTTGCATATGACGACCATATAGATAGAACGAAGCGCGACAAAATTGCCAACTTGGCAAACAGACGAGCTGTTGAGGGATTCTCTCCTAGCGAATTTAACGACGAAAGAGAGCATATTATTGACAAGCGTCAGATTTCTGAAGACTTGGACAGTTTAAAAAACTACGAGGCCGATAAAAATGACCTTCGTCTCCAGGAAATACTGTCGGGATTTCAAAATGAACCAAAAGTCATCACAAGATCTAAGAAGGACTTACATAAAAATGTAAGACAATTAAGAATTAGTTTTAATGAACAATTATTCTAGAAGTTCTTTTAATACTCCCTCTGTTTTATTTGTTCTCCGCACTTATAGTATTAAACATTTCCTAACTCATGCATGCAGTTTACATAGGACACCTTCTAGGTACTTGAATTGGCACCAAATTAAAGCTAAAGACGTTCGATGACAGCCTGATTGTAGATTAATTAGGACAGATTTGTTGGAAAACTCTGCGCTTGATATCGAAGAAAATAACGGGAAATGGAGTACGACAAGATATTAGTTCATTGTCATAGTGTGTGTAAGCTTTTCGAATTCTTTTCGTGGCCGAGAAAAGGAGTTTTCCGGAGCGCATAAGCGTACAGTTTTAGCTCTTATGGGAATTGAAAGGCAAAGATCTGAAAACAGTTTTTTAAAATTTACTAGTTCAGGGTCACTCATGATGTAACTGTCTAGATAAATCAGCAAAGAATAAGACATAGTGTACTGTGTGAGCATGAGTGAATTTACTACAGAAAAGTCATGATGTAAGATAAAGGACGATCAACCATCCAAGCAAACCCAATTTTCCTTAACAGGATGTTATTACTATGGCTAAAAAATCTGATGACGCAAAACTCTTCGAGTTGAACTCTTTGGGCCTTGAAGACTTGATTCGGAAAATTGCTCCGCTTCTAAAAGGAAAGGACGGCCGAGATGGAAAAGATGGAAAGGATGGAAGGGATGGGAGAGATGGACTTAGGGTAATAAAAAAACTATTTTTTGATTCTTACTTAATGAGGTGCGCGGCATAGTAAGATTCAACGACGCGGCGGCTACGAGAACGTCTATTAAAAAACAATAGGTTTAATAAGGAAAAAAACTTCTTTGCCGTTTTTGCACGACTACGACGTGAAAATGCCTAATTTCGTATTTTATAAACGTAAAAAAACAACGACGAAATTTTATTTCGCTTTCTGAACTTGAATATGGTCCCTTGGAATTCAAATTCAGTAGGGTTCGCGTACATTTGACAAAGTACGTAAGTAGGAATAATCGCGATAAAGACTGAAAGAACGCATATTCACTTTTTAAGCGACGTTCTCGTTGCTGTCGCGTCGTTGGATCTTGACGTCCCTTATAGCAAAAGGAGCAGCGGAACATTGGGGGGAGCTGACCACCGATTGGAAGTGGGAAGACTCAAGGAAGAGTCTGAAGAAATTCTCCTGGTAAGCCCTTAATAGGGATCTCTGCTGGCCCTTACCCCTCCCACCATAGCCCAAACGTCTCCGCGTTCCGTAAACATGACTTGTATGACTCATGCAGTCTCCATCGAAAGGCGAAAGTTGCGTGAGACCGTCGTCCGATTAGTTACCTGAACTTAAGTCATTAGTGACGTTTTCTCTTACTTCTCTCATGTCCCTGCAGGAAATGCCACGCATATAATAACTATTTCATGACTAATGTCCAAGCTTAAGAACACTAGTTTGAATCGAAGTGTTGTGGAGGAAATAATACGCCATGAGAATGATGCCTTGCCTGATTTTCGTTCTTTATCTTCAGCGTCCTGACTTAACTGGTCCCACCACTACAGGCTATTGAAACGTTTTCAACATTCTCTGGTTTAATGCTTGCACTTAGTTAACGAGACATAGCAATCTTATATTCTCCATAGTAAATATATGTATATATCAATTTCCCTTGTCATAGGGCGAACCTGGTTACCCTGGCCCCCCTGGCCCACCTGGCTACTCAGGAGTAAAGGTAATACCCCGGCTTAGTCTTTTGCTCAGCACAATTTTTTTAGACATTCATCCTATCTTCACTGATGTGAATTTCTTTTATTACGGGAGGATAAAAAAAGGCGGTACGCATGCGTAAGATATGGTTGAGAGTCTGGAAAGCGCACGCACCTCAGAGCATTGACCAGTCTTCCTTATACAAAACTCCATTCAGTCTTTTCAAATAAATTGTTTAAAGGTAAGTGAGAAATATTTAATATAGGCCTTTAATATTTTAGGAGTGTTCTGACGATACTGCAATGCGAGGTGACGTTGGCGTTTCAGCTACCCAACTTGAGGTACATGAAATAGGCTAATATGAATCAAGGCTAATACAAAATTGGCACAAAATAGCTACAATTAGCTCGTCGGTTTACAAGTTGTACAATGCCAGGAAGGCTTTTTTATGAAAGAGTTGAATATAATCGTCTGAGTGAGTAAACTTCTAAAAAGGAATGTTGGTGGGGGTACTAAATTCATCATCAGATTTAGAGCTTGACAGAGCTCATTGTCCGCACGAGAAAAGTGGCAAAAGTTTATGTAAATTAACTGATTCAATTTTCCTAAGGATGAGAAACCATCTGGACATCTAACAAGCGACAGCAGCGCCTTTCGTTTCTCAGATGGCCTTGGTGAGTAAAAGTTACATGATCTTTAATTTTTGTCAAATTTTTTTCCAGATTTACTGGAAGATAAGATTGTTGGCTTTTCATCCTTGTCATAATATGTTTGCGTTCCTAAATTCTGATAATTTAATCCTGAATCCTGAAATCAAACACATGCAGGTATCGTTTTCGCTGAAATTATGTAATTAAAATGCTCTTAACTTCTCATGCATTACTATTTAAAAATGTAAAGTTATTTTTCTTATTTACCTCAGAATTTTCTCGTTGGTGTTCTTCATGCCCGACCGCGCATCTTTCCGGAGGGATGAAATCATCAAACAACACTCTCGAAATTCCTCGAGATGGAAGATACTTCGTCTACTGCCAGTTTCATCTACTACAGACGGATGAAGACAGAACAGGGTTTGAAATTCTCGCGAACGGAAACATATTGCTCTCTAAAATAGTGAAAGGCGAAGAAGCCACCTACTCGGGTGCAGTATTTGTAATGAAGAAGTCCAGTCTTCTGTCAGTGAGACTTCTGGGTCATGGCACTATAGAGGGTGATCATACTGTAAACTTTCTTGGTGCCTATCAATTATAGAATGATACATGCATGGACTACCCCACACCCCTTAGGTCCTAATAAGGAGAAGCCATTAAAATTCGTTTGCCTGTCCAGAAATCAGGTGACTGAGGCCCAGTCCACACGCATCCGGATTCATTGTAGTACCCAGGAACCTGGATAAATTGGTAACAGAGCATGCGTCGTAAAGTGCGCGAAACTTGCATCAGTGCTCTAACGTTCACGGTAAAGAACTGGGCTCGATCTTATTGCGTCACCAGATAAAAAAATAGAGAGTTTTAGATCCGAGTTTACCGCGAACCTCTAACGGCGGTTTACGGTTACCCGTTTGCGGTTCGACGTTCAAACAAAATTCGATTTAGATTGGCGGTGGATTAAATTGAATCAGCAGCCATAAATGGCGCTTGTTTTCAAGATCCAATAGGATTTATAAAATTTAGCATTTCGCCCAAATTTGTGCCTCTGTTAATGGATAAAGACTTGCTCCACTAGACTTTTGTACCATTACGTGGGATTAAACAAGAATTATACGACAAAAGCTTTCAGGTAATTGACATACGTGAAACCTACCTCCCCACGTTGAAAAAGCACGTCGTAAACCTCAAACGTGACGCGAAAGACTTGTCACGTAACCTCCAGCGGTTAGAGGTTCGCGGTAAACTCGGATCTAAAACTCTCTAATATCCGGCTCTAGCGTCCACACGATTCCAGATTTACAACGTATTCAAAAAATTGCTACCCTGGAGAGCGGATTTAGAAAGGTGCGGACGGACTCGTCTGCCCGATTCTCCATACACGTGTGAACAGAAGCCATGAATCCGGAAATTAAAAAGTTGCGAATTCAAGAATATCAGGATACGTTTGGACGGGGACTGAGTAGTGAGTAGCTGTATGCGTTAGTTCTAATCTTTTTGTTGGCTTTACCGCTAAGGCAGCTTCACAGTTTCATTCTACTAAATTTGGCTATTTCTTAATGTTGTGGAAACTATTATTATACACACGAATCCAGATATTTTTGAAACGGCATATTTTTTTCCACGAATGGGCCGCGGATAATGAGCGGATTCACATGCACGAGAAGCCGATTCATGTATGAAAACATGCGGTAACATAACGTTCTCTCTCTCCCTCTTTAAAAAATATCCGGATTTGTCTGGACTTGGCCTAGTATATTATGGTGCGAGTATTGCATAATGTTCAGAGTGATAAAATCTTACGTCATCTGTAAGCTACACGTAATCGCGCCATCTTCAACGCTAGGAGTCCTAGGAAGCTACAGGATTGTACACTTTACCTAAATTTCCTGGAGAAGCGAAATTAATTCACCGTGAAGCAGATTGTTCTTCTTTCAACAAAATTGAATAGACGAGATAAATAAGAGACTCTAACAACAAATGAAACAAATGATTGGTTTCAGTTCAATCGGTTTCACAGGCTTTTCGAAGGGGTGAGTGAAGCTCCAACAAGATGTTAAATTCATAATGTACCACGTGGTTCTTTTTTTTAAGCAAAAAAATGAAAGGAATTTATTATAAAAGCCCCAATGAAATACCAGATGAACTACCGGGTGAAAACATAATCCTTCTAGTATCTTCCGTACTTGAGAAAAAAACATGTGATCTTCAAGACGTACGGAAAGGTCGCCGTTGCTATATTTACTTAATAAGTAGCCCCTTTCGACTACAAAAAAATACATTAACGATAATTGATTTAGTATTTCATTGGTGTCTATGTAATAAATAGAAAATTACATGGCCGCTTAGAGATACGAAATTTTTCTTGAGATTCCTGTTGAAATATAATTCACTCAAATATTTTTCAACACTCGGAGAGAAATTTCGTAGCTCGAAGCCGGCCATACCGTTACCGTTTTTTAGAAAATATTGAAATTGCATGGAACGCAATTGCAAAATAAGCGAAAGTACAGTTAGTTATTGTAGACTGCTCACCGTATTACGCAGTACTTCAACGCAGAATCATACAAGAGAGGAGGGGCGTGACACGCTCGAAAATTCGTGCCCTGGTTTAATTTAGATTTACTTTTACCAGTAGTTAGATGACTATCACCATAAGCAGTACGTTAACATTCAATTGAATTCATTTATTCCAACACCGTCAGCGTAGATTGAAACTGGAATTACATGCATTATAAACATAAAAAAAATTAGGATTAAGAGAAATAGATACAAAACTTTAATCAACAACACAAATAAATAAATAAATAAATAAATAGTATGTGCCAAGAAGACTCAGAAAGACAAATGTCTGTACAAAGAAGTCCCTTCCCTCATAAGACATTTATATGATTTACGAAGAAATAAAATTAATAAAAACAGTTTGAACTAGGAGGGTAACATATTTCATATTGATATGTGTCACTTATTAAAATTGATTTATGTAGCAAGTGATTGGACGAGAAGGAAAAAGAACCCATGACTACTTTTCCAGGAAGTTAAGTCCATGAGCTACGAACAGATCAGAGCTGCTAGACGTGAACGGTTTATTAGATTCGTATTTGTTGGATAAAAGTAAACAATCACTTGCAATTCAATTTTCATAGTTATGTAGTCACTTAATTGGCTACTGAGTACTTGTAAATTGAGAATAAGTTAAGTTTAAAACCACTTTTCTTACCCAAATTTTTTAGAAGGAGTTCATCTTCCACAAAGCATATTCAGCATATTGTTAGCCTGATTATGAAATTACAATCAAATGACATCGCACTATGATGACTGTAAATTTAAGAAATATGTTTACTTTACGACCATTCCTTGCAGCCCAGAATGTTTTTATTTTTCGACATTTCCTTTATAGAAACAGAAAAATCCATTTATCAGTTTTTGCTGCTTTAACGCCGTATACAAACTCATAAGATACAATAAGTAAAAACTTGATATACTCCTCTATTGTATCTATGAGAGGACTGCACTTCATGTCAGTAAGCAACACTACACTACAGATCATGGTTATTTTTTAACTCAAAAACTGCTCTGATGACATCATTTCGAGGTTGAAGTACTTAGAATCATATAAACACTTCCAAGAGTTGACATCAGTGGCACAGGCCAGAGTCGAATCATTGGCATGAGTGGAGAGATTTGTCAGTTAACAAGCTCAACTCGACAGTTGATTAAAATCTTTAAGTAATCTTTAAAATGTTTGCAAAGTGGTATTTCTGTAGGCTGTTCGAGTGCAAACTTGAACGAGGCTGCATTCACTTTTGTAGACCTCCCACTTTAAATTTGTTCCTTTGTGCTGCTAATCTCTTAAACAAATTCTGTGTCAAACGTAGCGCTAACTCCAGAAATTCGCAGCAGGTGAGCACCGAAACACCAATCCACAAACCCAGCTGACCGCCAATATCTGCCAACAAGTTGACATCCTACGAAGAACATGAAGGGAAATTAAAGTCAATATTAAGACCAGTAGAACAAAAACAGTATCGTGGCTTGGTTTCTTTCCTGCGCAATCAGAGTTCAAATGGTATTCCAAATGGAAAGAAGCGTTCATGAACTTTGAGCGCGCAGGACGCATTCTCCGGGATAAATCGTCGACCTGCCACCCCACCCGCTCAACGGGCGTTCTTTTTTCTTTCTCTCTAGCCTCCCAGAAATGTACCAAGGCCTCCGCCAGGGAGTTAGCGGCTCGGTTTAAAGTGTGTCGTAAAAGCATTAATACTTTACAACAACTATTTACAGTTTACGATGATGTTGGTTAAAAGTAGGCGGAATATTGAGTCGTCCGGGTGAGTTGAGTCCTCAATAGGATTATTATCATTAAAAATATTTTTATAGCAATAAACCTAAAAATGCATTCGCTTTTATTGGGGAATGACGCTCGTCTCAGATCACATCAAATGTTGTTAGAGAATCAAACTAAAAAGAAAAAGATGTTATGATCAGAAGACGAACATTAATATTCACATAATGTATCAAATGTTGCAGGAGGTTGTTGTTATGAATGAATTGGTACTCAATGAGCCAAAAATAAATTAATGTTATTACCTTATAACTCAATTCTTCCCTCACTTCCTGGAAATTCAATCTCTCAAAAAACACACGAACTTGAAGGAAATCTTCCCTAGAAATTTAAGAAAAAGAGATAACAAAGGAAATTGCCACACTTTTGGAAAGAAGAAATGGCCAATTAAACTACTGACTAAAAATAACAAAAAATAACCCGACGGATGGCAACTTCCCACAGTGCATTGCTGTTGTGTTTCTTACAAGATGGCGGAGTTTTCCTTCGCAGGTCGTGTTTTTACGGTGTTTTTGTGTGACATTTTTACCGAAGAAAGTCTGTTAGACTAAACATCCGTTTATATCCTAAATTTGTCGAGAAACAGGTGATTAATGAAGAAGACGGGAACTTTTCATCGACGATCAAGGTAAGCACTTATCAGTGTGATAATATTATAAGACAATCATTCCTGGGCATCATAAAAATAAAAAAATCGTTTTTTGTATTGATTGTAGAAGGAATTTGACACCCTCCTCCTTGTCTGATTATGCATGTAATATAATAGTAGATAGCTAGCACAAGCGTCACTAAGCATAACTGCTGTTTTTACCATGTTTTTACTCATTTCATAAACGTAGAAAATCATGCCGACATCAACATGGTTGTTTTCTTAATATGTATTTGTACTTACTCCAAAAAGTCGGCACCATTGCTTAGCTGATCAGCATAAGCGTCATTCCCCCTCTTCTTTAAGAGGTTAAACAGCCTTTGCTGTCGAGATAAGTAAATAATCCCTAGTGAGTAACTAGACTACGAGCAGTCTCTCTTTTTTCTGTAGTCCGTCATGATTTTGGTGGCGAAACGTTATAGCCGTTAGCCTAACTCCACGCAGGCTAGATAGCAGTCGTCATTCTAGCTAGTTTAAACAAGAATGTCGTAGTGGCGGAAACGAGTTATCAAATAATGTTAAAAGTGATCGGGAGAGAGCTTATTAAAACTCCCTGATAAAGATAACAATGCTAACTTTTCTGGTGAATCAAAATTACAATCAAGCTTTCCGTGGTATCTGTTTTTTGAGAATACGCGAAAAAACGTCAAGTCAAATCTCGTACCGGCGTAGTAGTTCTTGCCCTCGAATCTAAAGCTCTCTAACGTTAGCGTTGGATGCATCTCAGTCCTTATGGAAAGGGGATTCCTTCATTATGCCTTTTATCAATGTGTATCCGTCCCGGGGGGGTACTTTAGGAATTTTTGGGTGGGGATGTGCCGCTGGGACCCTGGTACCCTTAACCTATACCAGAGCTAGTTCAGCTGAATTTTGCTACCCTATACTAGAGTAAACTCCCCAAATCCTCCCTATCCTAGAGTAGCTGTTTCCCTAGTCTAGATAAAATTTTCAACCAACTGATCAGTTTCCTGAAAAATTATACCCTATTCTAGACCCAAACGCTCTGGTTTATAGAGTAAACTAGTTTCTAGAGTAAACTGCTTGAAGCCCATATATAGTACCCCGGCGTATCCGTTTACGAAACCCCAATATATTTATTTCATTTGGTTCCCCCTGGCATTCATTGCTTTTTTTGTTGGAATTCTCACTAATCAAGATTCTTCTATCTCTGTGTAGGGGACACTGCCATATATGAGCAGTGCATGTGATCGGAGAGGGATCTACTTTTAAGTGCCCTAAGGTAGACATGGCTCTCACCCACTGATAGGGTACGAAGAAATCAGAAGATTTTAGTCTAAATTTCCATTTAATAACCGTCAACCGTAAAATTGGAAAAATTAACCATCAACCGTCAAAGCTACCCTCCCTTTAAGACTCTCAAAGGAACAGCTTATTGTAGTCTGAGGAGATTAACCCCCTCCCCCAGGATTTCTATAACTTACCTTGTATCCTTGTGAAGGCCACCTTGCCATCGACGTAGTTGGTTTAAACACAACTTCACTGAAAGATAAATTAACAATTAATGAATGAGGCTGAGTATCTTATGAAGAATTATGGAGATCGAGGAGGGCGTTATAACACCCTTCGAGTTCTCCATAATTCTTCATATGATACGAAAGCCGAATTCAATAATTGTTTTATTGTTCATTCAAAATAATTCCTGGTTTAAAAACGTAGCTAAAACAAGTGTACCTCCATCGACGTTAAGTTCATCTTCGATAGTGCACGTTTAGGGTAGTTCAGCTCCGCAAATATTCTCCAAATAGCAGATGTCGCCCTTCGAGTTGTCTTCTTGCTGTTCTTGTCATGTTTTTAGCTATTATTTCGCCTAGTTCTTACTCTTGAAACGAGTGAAATGTCCGCCATTTTTGTTTTCACAACCAAAACAACTCAACCTCGTTCCCAGGTCTTCTTGGTTAATGGTGCATTAACTTGTATGAAGGCTGCACTTTTGACGTCATCGGTTCATTAATCGCAAAATTCTTCCAAATTTGGTCATCAGTAGCTGGTTATGGTGAATTATGCGTGTGTTTTTAGCCAATCAGAATGGGGGAAATATTTTGAATGAATAATAATCTTATTTAATTCATTGAGATTTCTCAGCAGCTTGGGAGGGGCATTATGAGAGCCATGTTAAGGTTTTTTGGAATTTTAAGACAATTTTTAATTACGAAGTAGAACCAAAGAAAATCCTAATCTGAAAATATGGATCAATTTAATACAAAATAATCCTTTACTTCTATCTATCACGTGTTAGTGTATGTTTTTGACTCTCTATGGCTAGGATGAAAACCCGTTGCAACTTTTTCAAGTTGAACTAATGCAGGTGTTGTCGGAAAAGGACCAAAAATTGATCATGCTTTGTTTTTCCTTCGATAGATTCATTTAGAGTTTTATATAGGAGAAAATATAATTGCGAATACTCAGATATAATTTCAGGTCAGCTCTACCTCCAAGATTACAAGAGATACGTTTGTACCTGCAAAGCACTGGGCATTCGGATTGACAGTCTAATTCACCATTCATGAACCTTTCAACCAAGTCATTCAAACATGTCTCTGAAAAAAATAATCAAAACATTAATTACAGTCAATCATCAACGGCCACCTCAGAGAGAGCTCGAGCTCAAGGCCATTTTACAGTTTGGTAGCCTAGCTGGGACAAGACAGGATGCTGTCTTGGTAGCATGCTGTCTAGTCCCTATAAGGCGTCTTTCCAGGCCTCCTCGGTCAATGCATTTCGGTGACGTATCCGAGACGAACGGCCGGGAGACAATTTTCTCAGACCACGTGACCTGAGACGCATCGGCCGCGCACAATAATGAGGCCTAGGGACTAGGCAAGGTAGCATGTACACTGACACTACTTATAATTCTAACTAAGGAAAATCATATTATCTCGTACTAAATATAAAATTTCAACATATTAACAAAACACAGAAGCTAAATATTTTTAAAACAAGTAAAACTTAGCTTCAGTAAGTACATTGTCTCTACACTACACATGCACTTTATTAATAATAATTAAATACAGCTAACCATAAAATCCAGAAATTTAACAGGCATGTTCTCGACACATTTGGAATTTGTTTCAAATTCAAGTTTCCGCCTTTATTTAGCTTCTGGAATATTTACCCCTGCAGTTCCTGTAAAACACGTCTTTTAGAACTGATTACCTATTTTACGATTCTTGAGAATGTCACAGATGGGGCCGATTGTCTCATCGTATGCAGAATGTGCATCTGCACATCCGCACTTTCTGATCTGAAGAGTGGATAAACACGATTTCATACAAGCCTGACAGAAATAAAAAATGGAAATAAATAATGAGTGAATAATTACTGAGGGACTCATCCTAACAAAAAAATTATTGCCAAATTAAGGGTACAAAAATATCAGTTGTCAAATGTTTGGTTAACATTCGGAGAGTATAATTTTGATAATGCCCACCATTTAACGGCGTCCGGCGCGATGTTGGACGGTTGTTTTTCTTTCACATCTAGCAAAAAGCTCTCAGAGTATCTTGGGTGGTATTTTAGTTTTAAAAAAACTTACATTCAATTACACTCACCTCTCTTGAGTAAGGTCGATTGAGCCCTTTCTCAACTTCAGATATTTTTCGACAGCTTCCGTTATTAAAAGGATCTGCTCGCTGAATCTTTTCCTTAAGTGAGAAAAAAGAGCACGATTTAAAATGAGATCATTTTTTGTTAACTTTACTTCATAAAGCGGCTCACGTTTTCACCGGAAATCTACTGTGCTCATAGACGCCATAGACACTTTTTTCGGGGGAATCCAAAAAATAACTGGTGTATGCTAGGCGGCGTCTCGCTTACTAGTAGAAATTGCACACTCTTTTAAAGACTTAAAAGTCTCACAGAGTATAGATTGGCAATAGTTTACCAATGAAAAAAGGTTATATACGTCAATTAATTTCTCTAATTCCAATGGTAAACATGGACATGCAGTCAAAAATATGGACTACTGTCCTAACAATGACTAAATGCTCTTTCCAGATTGCGTCCCACTAAGGACCTGTTTTCATGGAGGTGGGGGACCCCAGGACGCAAGTAGGTTAGGCAACCCACTTTGGTCATTGAACAAACTGGTCCTGAATTCGTAATCCATATAATCTCTTATTTTAATTTGATAACGTTTACATATACAAGTGGGGTGACCCACCACGGGTTATAAACAGGTCCTAAATCTAGATGATAGCTTTAGCTGTTACGTCTACTTTGCTTCATACCGTTCGAATTCCAACAGAGGTAGAAATTCCAGGGAGAACGTTCATCCCCTCATCATCTGGGAAGGGTATAGCTGCCTGATCATGGATGACAATTCTGGCGCCTTCAGCGTGGCTTAACTGGGAGACATATTCATGAGACTCGATAAATAGATTCAGTTTGAGACCTAATTATACAGGAAAGAAAAACAGAGATAACCAATTTCTTTAAATTGACTGATTCTCTATGATGGTTCGATTGAAATTATTCTTCAGCTGTCAAAAAAAAAGGTGATTGAATCTAACAAGAAGCGGCAAAGGCTACTAGATTTTAAACCGACATCTAGGCTGATTTAGCAACGAAACGGGAACGTCAGTTGACTACGCAACGACGCGCGCAAATCAAACAACTGGCTTGACCAATAGCAGAGCGACAAATTGGGCACCGGAAGTTGTGTTTAGTCCTTTCCGCGCGCTTTCCTTTCGTCAAATGACGTCCCAGTTCTGTTGCTAAATTAGCATATTTAGAGACGGTGTTCACTACAGATTTGAGGACGTGGATGATATTGTTTAAAGTTGCTTTCCTTGAATTTTCAGAACTAAATAAACAACGCAGAAAGCTCCATGACTGAGCTTTCACCAGAAAAGTTAGCACGGTTATTTTTATTGGGTGAGTTTAAGCCCTTTCCCGATCGCAATGTGAAAAAAAACTTCTGCATTTGATGACTGTCTTGTTTCCGCCACCATGACAACAGAGAAGTTAAGCATCACGTTCACGTTAAACGGCAAACGCGAATATGTACCAGGTGACCAAGTTTCCTTTACTTGTCGTTCAGTGTTCATTATTTCTACACCTAAAGTAAAACTTCCACGGAATTTTTTATCCATAAAAATTGTTTTAAGCTGTTTCTATCTGCTCATTTTCTATTTTGAGAAATTCTCTTCTGAATCTGACGTTTGCCGCGGCCCGGATGTGTGAAGCATAACTCTCTATTCCGGCTAAAACCCGTAGTAGAATGACGACGGCTACCAACGCAACGACGACGGCGACGGCTACGATAACGTCTCTTAAAAGTGGATTTGCGCTGCCTCAAAATTTATCGCGCTTATTCCATCTCGTTTAATTCGTCAAATGTTGCCAAATTTTTGTGTAGTTGAATTCTAATGGACTGCATCAAAGTTCAGGAAAAGAAAAAGAAAGTTGTTGTCTTTTGTTCCCGTTCTCGACAAAACGTGAAATGAAGCAGTTTCACGCCGTAGTCGTGCAACGACGGCAGAGAAATGTACAGAAAAGCGTGATTCACGTGCACTAAGTTGTTGTTTTGCTAAGCCATGAACCTATTGCCTTTTTGTTGTTTCGTTCCTGTCCTGGTCGTCGTTGCGTAAACTCCCTAATGACGCTGGTTCACGCGCTACTTAGTATTGCTTGTCGTCGTAGTCGTGCGTGTCTTGAAATCTTAGGCTGAAAAAGTAACTCAACAACCTGAAGCTAGCCCGAGTATCAGGCGTTTCTGCGGAAAAGGGGAAAGATGGAAGCGAAAAAGGGAGAGAGCTGATAGCCCCTTGGCCCCTTAGGATTAAGGCCTGATACTCAGGCTACCTGAAGCGGAATCGTTAGTCCTTGGAGTCTTGGAAGGAAAAACGGCTTTAATTAATGCTCATACTTAAAAAATTGCGCGAAGGAAAGCAAGTTTCAACTAGCCGAGAAAGTCTGCCACTGATCTACTGGAAAATCCATTATTTTTTCTGTTTTATATTTATTTTATATTTTCTATATCATAAATCTCTGAGTTTATAACCGTACCTCCAAAGGGACCAGTTGTCTGCGTTTCGAGGATTGTTTGATTGATTCCACTGTTAAATATGTAGCAGTTTCCATAGCGAAAATCCCAGAAATGATACCAATATTTTGAAAAATTTCTAAAAAAAAGATAATTTTCGAGAAAACGATTAACAGAAGAAAGCGCATACTAGGGTATATATTTCACTATATTACCAGTTTCACATTCGACAACGGTCGCATGAGAAGGGTTAGTTTTTTTATATGTGATATTAGACATAGACTTATATCTGATTGATCGATTGCATATCCCAGTATTTAGAGCTTTGTTTGTCGTCGCCTTAAGAATAAGCCGATAATGTGACTAATTCTTGCACAGCTCGCATCTCCGATCCCTTAACTTTGTTTCAACAACGTCGTAAGCACATTAGCGGAGAAATTGAAAACTGTTCCGATTCGTGAAAAGTATTCATTTTGAAAAGTCATCTATAACACACTGTTCTGTATGAACGGGTATGAATTTATATTTTATCATTTATTTTTACTTTGGAATAAGACTTTGACTCCGTCGACGTTGAAAAGAAGCCTTTGTTTGACATAATTGGACAGAATTAATTGCTGCCCGCACAGGGCAGCTACCTATTTCTGACGTGAGATCTCGACTGTTTGTTGGCAGTTCCCAGGCCACGCCGCGTAGCACCCGATGAAGCAAAGTAAATTTATATTGGCGGCAATTTTAAAATCTTGTGAGCGCAGAGAGAGAGTCTTTAATTTTTTCTGAAAACATAATCTAAAAGTGAATTTAGATAATCGAGATTTTTTGAATAAGTGTAATTTCTTTAATGTATTTTACAGGCTATAATTGGCCAGTTCGACAGCGACATAAATCAGTGCGGGGAGTCGTCTTAGTGTACGTCGCTTCTAAGACAAGTGCACATGTTTGTTATCGCCGACCAAGAATAATTAAAAGTAGGTCATTATTTGCCGATTTGCTCCAAAATTAATTCTTACGCAAATAAAGCTCATTTCCTCAAGAAAGGTTTTGCACTATGGCCAATCACCTATGAAATATATCCTTTTATAGAGGCATGATTTTAACCGCACCTGCATTCATTTCCCCTAAAGTTGCAATCGAAGACCAAGTCCTTAAATTGGTGTCCCATTTCAGATAACATGGTGTTGTTTTCCACTGCTAACTTAGCAATCAGTAATTCTTCAATGAGATAATCAGCTCTGAGTTCATCATCTGGGTCGATGTCTAATTCGGTATCGTTGCCTGGTGTTTCTGCTGTAGGACTCTCAGTGGTTTCTATTTCATCATCTGCAAAAAGGAATTAAGATATAGCATTAAATAATATAATACCTAAAATGTATTTTAAAAAGGAAAAATATCTTAGTTCTTAAAAACAAACAAAGAAGCGAATGCTATAAGGGTTTATTCCCAGGGTCGCGTAATGTTTACGTGCGTTGAATAATAGACGATAATGCAGTGCAAAACAGCAAAGGAATACTAAGGTGAGGGCGGTAGAACCTTAGTTTCAAAATATTACTTAATTTTAATTTTAAAAAACAACGTGTTGTTCACAGTCCTTAGTCTTAAAGGTAAATTTATTTTTCCGGGGTTTGAGAGGCAAAAACGTTACCATCAAATTTTCAAAAAGGTCAGTTCTTTGAGGTTTGAGTTACTGCGAAATAAATTACGGTAAATGGATAGAGTAAATCCAAAGGAAATCCACTTTCCCCCAAGTTAGGAAGAGATTTGATTTACCGTGCGAATTTTCGATCTACCGCCGGCGACCCATGCAACCGCTGTGTAATATCATAAGGAAAGTAACTCGCGTCTATTTTACGTATTTCTCGAACTTATTTTTTACCTGCTAGACCGTTGTGTTCTTCTTCTAGCCGCTCATTAACTTCTTTGAAAATGTCCCGGAGGTAATTTTCTGGTATTTTATTAAGTTTCACTGGGTTTTGATTGCAAACAGTAACCGCTGGAAAAGTTACTTCCTGTGAAAAGCAAAACGTTGATCGATGTTAAGCAACGACTACAATCAATATAGCTTAACTCGGATAAACCCTAACTGAGAGTGGTACAAGGGATCAAGGTGCCTGGCTTTTACTGTAGTTTTTTTTTTTTTCGTTATACTACTTAACATATGAAAGATAAAATCTCACGTCCTCTCAGTTCATGGTGATATAAATGCTATGGACTGTAAAGCTCATGTAAGGCCTACGGATACCGGAATCCAAGAAATTTTTGCTTGTGAAATCCAGAATCTCGGAAAATTTTTTTTGGAATCCGGAATACGGCTCCAGGAACCCGGAATCCCTCTAACCACTGGAATCCAGTATCCAAGTTCCACCGACAAGGACTGGAATCCTGTACCTGGGAGTCCAGAATCCTCGGAGTGGAATCCAGAATCCAAGGCTGTCATAACCTAACGAGTATTATACCTATAGAAACTAATTTAAAAGAACAGAACACCTTGCATAAAAATCGGCGTACTGAACTTAAAAGTATTTTAACGTTCGTGCCGATACTAACTGAACGTGAAAAAAATATAATAATAATAATAATAATGATAATAATACTAATAATAATAATAATAATAATGTAAAGTAATTAGAAACAATTTCCTAAGACGCTATGCTATATTATTTAGATTTTTTAATTTCTAAATCGTGTAGCATATTTCATGTTAAGGTTTAACAAAGATATGTTATATTATATATTTTTGCTAAAAATATAATCGAATATAATATAATCGAAGGAAAGAGCACCCCGGCGTTTTATTTTAGACTGACGTTCAAGGCAGTTAAGCATAAGTATCAGAGTACCAAACTTTATTTTAAGGGCTGTTGCAGCAAAAGTAGAAAATAAAAGAAACAGTTTTACTGATTCGGTGGATTTTGAGTACAATTGCGTGTTTCACGTTTGTTAATCGTACGTTATACTTGTTTTTGAACTAATTTCTACAAAGCGAATTGATTAATAAGAGGTTCACTAGACATGTTACATTTTTTAATGTAATTAATGTACATTATGATATTGACATTTCAAATAAGCTCATATTTTGTAAGGACAGAAATACAGGTGGAAAAATGACATACAGGACCTTGTTACAAATTTTAGTAGAACTGATGGTATTAAATATAGTTTTTTAACCGTATTGTAAATGAATGGAATTGTTTACCCAATCATATTAGAGAATCAAATAGTATTGCAACTTTTAAAAAAAATGCTTTAAACTTTATCAAGGATAACTAGAACATCTACATTTCTATTTGTAGATATTTTTCTTATATTTTAATTAGTAGGGGCATCCCTAGTATGGCGCATTGGCTCTTTTGGTTGTCTCCTTCTCCAGAATTCTTTTTTTTTTTTATAGCAGTATTAGCTTATTTCATTTCATTATTTGCTTGTAAGGCAGTGAGTGAATCTGTAATAAGTAAATTACGACTGACTTGTTCTGACTTACCGTTTTATGTTTTACTTTCACTACCGTAGATATCGGACGACTCAGATACAATCCAAATAAGCCGCTTGTTTGATATATGAACATACTAAGCGAACCGAGTATAAAAATGCTCCAAATGAATCGGCTAAAAATTGTCTTGGCTTCAGCCAGCCTTCCAACGCCATGAGTTGTAGTGTAGTTACAGAAGTCCTTTATAAGATGTTTTGTCTTTGAAGGAGATCCTTTTAATTCAATTTGAGATTCCGAATCCCCATCCATAATTTGAGTTGATCGAGTCAAATGCAATTCTGAAAACAAAATGCAGAATTCACAACTTTGGCCAACAAACTTCAAACTCTGCACTAAACTGGGTTCTATTATCGGGGATTTCCTATTAGTACTAGTAAATCGTGTGCCGAAGTCTTTTGTTAATTCTTTAACACTTCCCGGATATCATTAATTATGCATTCTATACTGTACGCTGCTGTAAACAGATTATTCTGTTCTACAGTGATAACAGTAAACAGGGAAAGTCAACTTAGAAACAATTTTTAAAGAAAAGAGTTCCTTTATGAAAAAGAATTTCAATCATGCTTCTCAAATATATATACTGAAAATAATTTTGCCAAAAAGACGAGCTGGTGCCCATTCACAGGTATAGTAAGGACATTTCAAGCTCTAGCCTATAATGAAGTTTATTTTCAAGATAAAAAGTTTATGTTAAAAAGCATCATAGAGATATTGAATGCCCCAAAACGGAGAGGTCATGCCAGGTAAATACATGTTTTTAGTTGAATTCTCTTTCAAAGTGTTATTCATCAAAGAAAATAAGTTTATTCTAATCCGTGAGTATTTTCGTTTTTATAAATTTCTTTTCTTTAGCTATCAACATCTACAGAAAATTTGTAGAGAAATTTTTGAAAAATGCTTGGTAAATAAAGGCTTGTATTTGAATGAGAAGTGGGTAACTAAGATTTTTTTTAAAAAAAGTTCCTTACCTGCCCTCGTATTAGTTATATCATCACTGCGTGTTGGAAAGAAACTGTAGAAAACGTCATGCAGTGACAGAATATAAGGTGTATCTAGTTCATGCATTGTGAAAGCAACAAAGCCAATCTCACGCTAAGAAATAAATTACTTACATTTTATTTATTTATAGTCGTTGAAAACCTGATTAATTATGTATTATATTTTTCAATAGATGTTTGTTCCTGAAAAAAAAAATGAAAAGAACCTTATGGCACTGAAGTGTAAGCATCAACCTTTAAAAACCTCTATTAAAATTTCTGAACGCTGATAAGTCACGGAAATTGAGCATGAATAAATGACTGTTCAACTTGTCAGCCATTTGTAAATTGCCGTAACCGGTAATTACAGTCTCTGCCATTTGTAAATTACCGTAACCGGTTAGTTTCACAATGAGGCATCTGCAGCTGTTTATATTAATCAAAGTTCTAGTCTTTCCTGCATGTTGTAATGAAACAACTAAAATGGGAACTACTATACCAGGAAAGCAACTGAGAATATGTGGTAGTAAATAAATGTACTAGTGATTCTCAAGGAACTAGAAAAAGAGCCGGCATATACGCATTGAGGAGCACTCAAAATACGTAAGATGAACCAAATTCGATTTTCACAGTAACAACTTACAACACTGCATTATTTGTTATCTTCTTGAAGTGATACATTTTTCTTCAAAATTTTAAAACAACTGATGACGTTATTTAACTGAAGTGCATTCACTAAAAACTAAATGTCCTAAAATTAATTAACTTTTATTATTAATTACTTACAAACTAAGGGGAACATCCAGTTTCACAGTCTGTTACCGCTTCACCCGGCGATCGTTAATTTCGTTGCGGTGGCCAAAAAGCGAGGTTTTTTTATCAGTAATTATATTGTAGCAGTCCGCTATACAAAACTGTGTGGCAGAAAACACTGAAGGCTAGTGAAGTACAGAAAAAGCTCTTAATTGAGGGGAAAGCCTTCACCATGCAGACGCTTAAGGAGCAAATTTCATTTGTCAGGACTGACAAGCCAAACCATTCCGGTCGTGATGAGAATCTTATTTGTAATCAAAACTCTCCAGCTAGATCAGTCTAAATAGTATGAACGAAGGGCTGGTTTTGCAGCAAAAACTCTTTGGAAAAGCCTACTTGGTTGTCAAAATGACTGGTCCGGCCATGGTCTGGCCGGCCAGTTCTGACTTTTGGAAAGCCGGCGGTGCTACGGCTCAATAAACGCCCATTCCCCATAACATTTTTTGCCTCATCACAATTCTGAGGATGAGCCAAAATTGTCATGGGAGAAAGCAGTTGTATGGCATTTACATACTGTGCTGAACAATATTTCTAGTTTAATCAAAGTCCTTAATGTTGTCGAAATATTTACTTTGACTTCCTAAAATCTTGTCTTAGAGTTACCAAACTGGTTTATGTAATGACCACCTTCCTCAGCCGGACCTGTATCTTGACTCCTTTCAAGTTCTTAGAAGATTGGTTCTTGATTTTATGAATCTGTTACCGTATGGCTGACTAGAGGGATGCCTTCATAGGATGCCAAAGCAAAGGTTTCACTGCTTCATACTTTCATACCAAGAAAGATGCTTACCTCGATCATAGTTCCGTCAGGACTCCGTTGTTACATGTTTTTGTGGACTTGAAGCTGCACAACGTTCAATAACATTCCTATGATTTTGATCTTATATACTGAGCAATAAATAAGGTGCATTGATTTATTCCGTCACAGTTTGTGAACAAATAGCAAAGGACTGTGCTCAGTTAGGGAGCTGTTTCAATCAGATACAAACTGCCTCACTTGCCGTTGTCTTCATTGGCTTAGTACCTTGTCAAATTTAAGATATCAAGGCATGTTTAGTCAGCAGATATTAAACAATTATTGGATGAGGTTGAGCATGGTATCATGAATTATCAAAACCGAGGTCTGTGTTATCTGCCGAAGCCGAAGGCTGAGGCAGATAATACAGACACGAGGTTTTGATAATTCATGATATCATGCGAAAACCGAATTCAATAATTGTTTTATATTATTATACATTTTTTAAACAAGAGGCAAAAGAAGACATTCATCTGTTGAAAAATGGCTTTATTTCAAAACTAAGGTGAAAGTGACACTGATAAGCTTAACCAAGATCATTTAAAAATTTTTAAATACAATAATAAAACCTTTGTCTGAATAAAGTATACATTAAAATAGAAAAATCCATAATTCATCCTCAGAAACAGAAGCGAAGCGTTCAGCTATTCTGTTTCTGAGGAGAACAGTCCAAGGGGCTTGGTAACCAGGCAGACGTTGAACTTGACATGATAAATGCAATATCTGCAGCAGATATTGCATTCATCATGTCAAGTTCACAAGCTATTGTGAATTGATTGAATGCTCTCGACCAATCAGATTTCTCATAGTGAGTCTGATGTATAATAATCTTCATTATTATACAGATTGTACTCACTATCTGTCCTCACTGGCTGAGAGCTTACAGTTAATTTTGAAAATCAGTGCAACGTACAGATACGGATAAGTGACTAATCTATAGGTTGCACGCACAATGCATGATTTCGGAAAACAATATCAATTCAAGTTCCTTGCGATGGTATGTTTGTTGTTATTTTTGTCAAAACAAAGCATTATGATTACTCGATTCCGTTTTTGTGATATCCTAAATAATCAAGGTCTCCGTAAGTGTTATCAGCCTCGGCCTTTTTCTGCTCGGCAGATAACACTTATACCTGGACCTCAACCTTAATTATTCCGGATATCACAAATACCTCATTCAATAATTGTTTATTGTCAGCCGTCGGGTTGTGTTTTAGCTGCTCTTTTTATGTTTAAGGAAACGGCCATTTCTTCTTCGCAAAGCATGTCAATTTTTCTGCCAGTTTGTCCAGCTTTAAAATAACAGCTAAGCCTCAACCTTGTCCCTAGGGCTTCCCGGTTGCCGTCAGTCCCTTTTTATGAAGATGTCCTGTTCTAATAACGTCATTTTCCTGGATATCGCAAACGACTCTTCCAAATCTGGTTAACGCTCACTAGTTATGGAGAATTAACCGTGGGATTTGAGCCAGTCAGAAACGGAGACTGATATTTGAATGAATAATGATAAGTGATACGAGATGTGTGATTAGTTAAATTTTTCAGATCACTTTAATATATTTAATGAAAGACAGCATAGATTGCAATGATTGTCTAATTTACAAGCGCGGGCAAGCGCAAAAGAAGTTTAATCATCCTTGGGTAGCAGGGGACGTTTCAACGCCAAATTGAAACCCTGGAGGCCAAATTCAGCTTTGTCCACAAAATGGGGGCAAAGCAGGGAATTGCGAGTTTGACTGTATCAAGTCGATAAATTGTTTTCAAATCTCTAGGCGGAGTATTGTTCAGTTTGAATAGCTCACTAGGATGAAGGAACGGGTTAGTTTGTCCGTCTTCCAAATTTTACCAGGTAAGCGGTGGTCAGCTGGGATATTCAGTTCTTTACTATGTCGTTTGAACAGAGGCGGACAAAGTTTGGAGGGTTTGAATGAATTTAAAATTTCTCCCACTTTTGTTCTAACTTTCTAAGCAAGAAATCTTTCTTTCTAGTAATTAATTTCCTTTTTATTAAATACAGCTGAACCTGCATGTGGGACCACCACCCATAAGCTCCCACTTCCCATAAACGAACATATATATTCAAAAGGGCAATGAAAATTTTTTACTAGTCAAAGCCCTGTTGTTGCTGGAACCTCTCATATTGATTAACTACACCCCCCGAGAATCTGCGCATTACTGGAGGTTAGACTGTGTAAACGTAACGACGCAAACGAATCTTAAGGAGCTAACGTATACGTAAATGTATAGTGTACTCAGCCTTTACCATGACATTAACACTGAGGATAATACATCCGTTTTCAGATTTGCTTCTTACTTGTTTGAGCTCAACGCACTCGTAGCACAGCCTGTTTACAACTGACAACGCATTAATAACTTCAACTGATTTATCTGAGACCACTTAATATTAACTGTCGTTGTAATGTTCAGCAGTTCTTTTCAAAAGAACCACCCGTATTATGTATGCATCACATCGCGAATATCAGACTGAAAGCCACGCCACCGGCGACCATCTATTCTGTTTTACAGAATAAGTAGAGTAGTCGGGGTAATGTTGGATACTTCTGTTGGTGTATTCCGAGACTTGATATAAATGTCACTGTTAATTCAGGCACACCTCATAATTCTTAACTATCCATGAAGATTCCCGCTCTGAGCGAAACACATACACATAGGGAAATCTGCAGTTGATTATTCATGTACTGGCAGTACATGAACAATTCTCCTGCCTGAAATGCGGTTAATAATCGTTTGTATTATCATCCAAGCTAATTCCAAGAACTCGCAGCAAGTAAGTACGGATATACCAATCCAAAGTCCCAGTTGTCCTCCGATGTCAGCAACAAGATTAACACCCTATTGAATTAAAAAAGAAACAAGGAGTTCACTAGTCCATCTTTAGATTGCTCACTTTAAAAAATTCTCTAATTCATACCTATTGTATACCTGTTCCTATCATCCTGGCCCCGGTTGTTCAAACGTTGGATAGTACTAAATAATAATAATAATAATTTTATTTATATAGCGCTAAAATCCAATAATTGTCCAAAGCGCTACCTAATTGCAAAATAAAATATAAAAAATATAAAATATAAAAATATCTACAATATACAATATAATTCAAATATAGCCTAAGTTATCTACTATATAAATCAAAAACATCTCAAAACAAAAGGAATCTCATAACCTATATGCTAACTTAAATAAAAAAGTTTTAAGGGATTGCTTAAAAGTTGCCACTGAAGCACATTTCCTAATCTCTAGAGGTAAATCGTTCCACAATTTAGGTCCTGCAATAGAGAAAGCTCTGTCTCCATATGTTTTCAATCTGCTTCTTGGAACCACTAAGTATTCTTTACAGGAAGAACGCAATGACCTAGAGTATGTTTTAAAATTCAAAAGGTCAGAAATATAAGAAGGTGCAAGGCCATGAAGGGCCTTGTATACCAATAAAAGGACTTTAAAAGTTATTCTAAACTCAACTGGTAACCAGTGAAGATTAATTAAAATAGGAGTTATATGAACATGCCTCGGTGTCAATGTGACAACACGAGCTGCAGCATTCTGAACTGCCTGTAGTCTCGCTAACAGATACTTAGGAAGGCCATGTAATAAGGAATTACAGTGATCAAGTTTCGAACTGATAAATGCATGGACTAAGATTTTACATGTATCTTGGCTTAAGTACTTGCGGATTTTAGCAATATTTCTCAAATGATAGAATGATGATTTACAAATGTTCTTAATGTGCTCCTCAAAACTAAATATGCTATCAAACTGAACCCCTAAATTACGAACAGAGTCACGAGGTGCAATGCACTCAGAACCAACAGTAATGTGACCGATGTCAGGCATAGGATGGAATCTAGAACTGATGACTACAAGGTCCGTTTTGTCTTGGTTTAGTTTAAGATAGTTTCTTATCATCCATTCATCAATGTCCTCTCACAGCATTCCACTCTCAACTTCACTTGTTGGATGTCATTCAAGCTGGTAGATTTAAAGGTAATATATAATTGGGTGTCGTCAGCATATAGATGGTATGATAGTCCATGATCATTTATTATGTCCGCAATAGGTGATGTGTATAACAAATACAACAAAGGGCCCAGAACTGATCCCTGAGGGACACCACACTTCAATGCACGTTGTGTAGAATGACTATTCCCAACTTTAACAAACAGCTTACGTGAAGACAGGTATGATTTCAGCCACTTAAGCACAGTTCCTTGAAAACCAAAACAAGTAGACAGCCTTGTCACTAGAAGAGTATGGTCCACCGTATCAAACGCCGCCGATAGATCCAAAAGTACCAGTATGACCGACTCATTACGATCTAAAGCACAAAGAATGTCATTTTGAACCCTCAGTAGAGCCGTTTCAGTGGAGTGAAATGACTTGTATGCGGATTGAAACGTTTCCGAAAGACCATTAGATGTAATATAGTCTGTAAGCTGGACACATACCGCTTTTTCCACAAGCTTGGACACAAACTTCAAATTAGAAATGGGTCGAAAACTTTCATATTTAGTGAAATCAGCATTATGTTTCTTTAAAGTCGGTGTCACAGCTGCAATCTTCAAGACATCAGGCATAACTCCAGTAGATAAAGATGTATTCACTATGTTAGTCAACACAGGAGTTAGTAAATTGAAACATTCCTTCATTACCACTGCAGGCAGAGGATCAAGTACACAGGATTTATTAATAGATCTCAATGCAAGTCCCTTGATGTCTTCGTAACTGACATTAATAAAGTCTGAAAACACAGAGTTACATTCCACGTAGTTACCAAGAGTCACTTCATTGGCATCATTACCTTGCGCAGAATTCTTCTCTATTAGTGTGGCATGGATACGATCAATCTTGTCAATGAAATAATCAGCGAAAGAATTAGCTAGTGCATCACTACAAGAAGATGGATACCGTGCAGTTGATTGCTTTTGTAGTAGTTTTGATACTGTATTAAACAAAACCCGTTGATCAGTTGAGTTTTCAGTAATGATGGTAGTGTAGTAAGAGGATTTCAACGACTTGATCAAATTATTCACAACGCAGCACTGACGAGTATATTCTTGTCGGTCAGCCTGCAGCCTGGTTCTTCGCCATTTTCTTTCAAGGCGTCGTCGCTTACGCTTCTCTACAGATACCTCATTAGTGTACCACGGAGCAGCAGGCCTAATAGTAACAACTCGGCGCTTGACAGGAGCATGCTTGTCCATTGTTGATCTTAATAAGGTGTCATACTGTTGAACTAGATGATCGAGATCGCTGGATGGGTCGATGACGAGAGGGCAGTCAGCAACATCACTAAGAAACGACTCCATGTCAAGAGACCGAAGCTTCCGATAGAAGATAACTTCCTTCCTAAACTGGGGCTTTCTTATGGAGACATCACACAGTACCGCCGAATGATCAGAGATGTTAGCATCATAGACTTTCATATTATTGAGCATGTTATCATCAGACTTATTTATAAGTAAGTCAAGAGTATGGCCATTGCGATGAGTCCCAGCACAGACACGTTGTTTAAGGTCAAAAGATTCCAAGATGTCAGTAAAACGTTTGGCATTTACATCATCTTGACAATCCATATGCAAGTTAAAGTCACCAGTAATTAGGACTCGATCAGAAGACTCCACAGTTACAGATTCAAGTAGATGTGAGAATTCCTCAAAAAATATCCACCGGATAAATCACTATCCAGCGGATAAGTATTACGGAAATCAATTACGCTATCCGCTGGATGGTGATTTATCCGGTGGATACCGCTAGCCAACTTTTGAACAACCCACAGCTGAAGTGCACGTGTAATACGTGCAATATAAGACTTCTTTTACATATTCACTTTGTAAAAAAAATTTTCAGTAGGCCCGTTGAAGTCCTGAATTTTTTTCAGGCTTCTTTACGCAATTGCATAAATTGCGTTCACTGCGACGATCATTTCTTCATTTTCATTTCATTTACGCAGTTCATATATGATTTATTTCATATATCAGTAACACTCATTTCTTTCACGGGAACATATGAACCCACAACTGGCCCGCTCCCAACGTCAGTGGCTTCATAGCTCAGTTGGTAGAGCATCGCACCGGTATTGCGAGGTCACGGGTTCAAACCCCATTGAAGTCCTGAATTTTTTTCAGGCTTCTTTACGCAATTGCATAAATTGCGTTCACTGCGACGATCATTTCTTCATTTTCATAATTCAATCTTACTAGCAACCCTTGTGGCCGTATCGAATCCCTAAAGAATCACGGAGTTCACTAGTCCACCATTAGTTTGCTCACTTTTAAAAAAATCTGTAATTCACACCTACTGGTGTATACCTGTACCTATCATACTGAAGTCTACATGTAATACGTGCAATAAGATTATTTTATGTATTTACGTATTAGCTACTGTTATGAATGGGAAATATATTCCAAGCATTTTCTTCCAAAGCAAAAAGCTGGTTACCTACACTGATTACAGTCGAACCTCGCTATTTCGAACTCGGTTAATTCGAAGTCCCCGCTATTTCGAAGGAAGATCGAATGCCCTTGGATTTACCTTTCCCCTTTACGCTTCCCCGGTTATTTCGAAGCCCCGCTATTTCGAACTTTTTTGCATTTCCCTTGGGACTTCGAAATAGCGGGGTTCAACTGTATATGTTTAAACGTTTTAATGTCTCATTACGTGGAAGCGGTCCTTAGCCTTATATGTCCAATGAAAGCTAGCAAGATAGACAAATGTAATTGAGAGATTACTGTAATTTAGAAATCATAATTACCTCATAGCTTATTCTTTCAGTGACCTTTTCATAATTTAGTTGCTCGTAGAAGACTTTAACTTGGAGAAAGTTCTCACTTGAAAGTAAAAAAAAATTGGAGACAAAATGTCACTTTCATATATTTGAATTGAACAAAAGGTAAAATATATAATTATATAAACCATCTAGACAATTGAATGAAACAAAAATGATCGTTTTAAGAATTTCATAGACGTTTTAGTGTGATTTCGTCCTTTGTTTGGTTTAATTGATCCCAAGAGAGTATAATGGGACTGCAGAGAGGAAGTCTTAGGGTGTTGGCCGGGATGTGTGAGTTTCAGTGATGAAAGTTATTTTAATAGAGGTTTTAATTGTCGCTGCAAGCCAGCCCAGGCCCGCGCGGTAGGTTACATTTTCGCGCGCTCTTTGGGTCAGGTGACCAAGCGATCGATAGTTTTAAAACTACATGATCGTTAACTCGGCGTTTGGGAATTCTCTCGTTCGCCTGTTCGGTGATGGATTTGGTTGTTCAAGGATAGAATCTTAAAGGTTCACAAGGTATTATTAGTCCTTCCTTTCGTTTCCTTTTTATTTGGTTTATTATTTCGCTCTTTGTAAATTGCTAGTTAAGTTTTTATTCGTATTTGTTTACCCAGGGCATTTCTCGTTACATATTTAAATATCACTAAGATTTTTCAATTATATTTCCCTTTCGAGGCGTTTACTTCCTGAGACGTCCGCACATTTTGATTAAGTCCAAAAATCAATTCCTCATAGCAAAAATGCTGATTATTGTCATGGCGACAGTTGAATTCTCTCTTGACAACACAGAATAAAAGTTTGAGGACCTCTCCGGAAACCAACCAACTTTGGCGAAATTCACATATACTAGACTAGGCGCTTCCTCCTCTGTTACCCCCCCCTTCCTAGGAGACAATCTGGAGTATCGTACGTACGAGTATAATTTATGATTACCTTAAGAAGTATCCATTATCCAATTCTTTTGCTAGGGTGGAATCGGTCTTAACTCGACTTTCGAGGATGGACTGCAATAAACACAAACAAAATGTTAAGGTTTGATAACTACTTAAACAAAAGGTTTTTGCTAAGAAAAATTCGAGTAAATATTAATTTTTTGGGGCCACAAAGCACTTAGCATTTCTGTGAATTTGGAAGGATATATCAGATTTATAATATAGATATATACAATTGAAGAACAACGTGTTAAAACTAATGAGTTCATATGACGAAGCTCGGGCGTTGTAAGACACGCAATTTTTTGGGTTGCTAAAGTCGACTTTCATAAATTGCAAAACCTTTCGAAATTCGCAGGGGAAAAAGGCGAAAGGACGCGATGAAGGCTTTTTGTACTTCACCACACTCCCCACACGGATCACAGCCTTCTTAACATCTTCAGTTTTCAGCGTTTAATATAGCGTTCTAGGTAAAGTTTAATCTGTTAAAAGAGAAATTTGATAAATGAACAATGCCATTAACCCTCTGAGTCCCGGGAGTAACCAAGATCAATTTTCTCTTAACACTATCATACAACACATTCATCAAGAAAATACTGGAATCTTTTAATAAATTCATTTAACTAATCATTTAGGAAAATATATGGAGATCAGTCTGGAGTATTTTGCAGCAGAGCGCCATGGGCAATAAAATTTGACAAAATCGTCCGTCCACTCCTTTTATAGTTATCGGATGTGAAATGAAAAACTTTCTAGCTAGGAATCCGAGGTTTTAATTTGACTATTGAAAATCCGTCAAAATAGGGTATCCAATGACTAGTGTCACATGACTGCATCTGAAGCTCAAGTGTACGATTCATTGAGGTGACGTATTTTTTAAGTTCCCCTCTGAACAGTTATTGGTTATCTATTAATTGTTGGCTCAGGTCCATTTTTCAGAAGGAATTCAGTTTGCTTCTTGATTCGGCGAAAGTTGAATGGCTTCAGGCAAAGAGGTCTACATAAAAAAAGAGTGGTTTCGCTACTCTGGTCGACCGTGTAGTCGCCAGTGTAACTCCATGGTAACAGGCTTACCGACTGGAGGATTTGAACTGTACTGTACTGTACTGTAGAAAGACATCGCTTTTGGCCTTGACTAAATCTAGAAATTATGTAAATATTAATGCTTAAAGGATACGAAAGGAAGGGTATAATAATAAAGAAATACCTCATATCCAAAGGAAGGCCAGTGACCCATTGAAAGGGTGCTCTTGTATTGAACTTCTCTATGAGAAAACAAAACTGAGTGACACATGTTTTAATCGTTACAAGATATCAAAGAAGGGGTAACCGAGAGTATATTGTGCTCTTCCATGTACATGTATTTCTGGCCAATTATTTTTTTCTTTGCAGAAAATCAGAAGATTTCAGACTGATATCGTTGAAAGTCTTCCGAAAATTCTGAGCAACCTTGTAATTAGAGCAAATGCTGATTAATTAACAATCGATTAAGGTAAAAAGGGAGGGCGTTGTATGTGGATAAGATCGATTTTTAATCTTCGTGAACAAAAAATATTTTTTACATTTAATAGTTGAATTACCTGCATGGTGTTGGACACTGAGCCTCGCAGTCGAGTTCTCCTGTAAGCAACTTATATTGTATTTTCTCCAGGCACTTAGCTGTTGGAAAAACAGATAAGAAAATGTTTCTGCTAAACTTATTGTAATGAGGATTTATTATAAAAATAATAATATCAACAATAATAATGATGATGATGATGACGATGATAATAATAATAATTATAATAATAATAACAATAATTTATAACGCATCCTTTCCATTCAGTTATGATCATTAAATAACAATTTGATTCTACATAATGTTCCTTGGAAGCTTGAAATGGCGAAACCAATGGAATTTGATAGGGTTACAGATAATAACAATTTAAACACATTTACCTATAGTTTTGTTACGCAAATTGCAAATATCTGCATCTGTAGGGAACTGGCCTTCGGCGCATCCACAATCTGCTATCTGCTTATCCGCGTGACAAGTGTTCATACAGGCCTAAGCGGGATAGACAGCAATAATTGACTGTTCTAAAAATGTTGTGCATGAAAGGTGCGGACAAGAATTTGGAACACTAATAATTTAGACTAAAAATGTCCAGTAATTAATTTGAAAAATTAAAATGTGATCAAAGGGGCATTGAGAGTCTGTCTCACCCTAGTAACTAGAGGGTGACAGATCGGATACCTTATTACAGAAAATTGACGTTCCATGAAATAAAGTATTGGAAATTAACGCGAATTTAATGGAAAACGACCTTCGAATAAAGAAAATTAACGCGAAAGAGGAAGTAGAATTTCATAATAAAGGAAACTAACGCGATTAATTACGCGAAATCAAAGGAGAAGATGGTGACATCCCTTCTGAAAGCGACAAGGATGAAGATGGACTCGAAGTATTGTAAACCTTCCCCTAAGCTTTTGTGAAAGATAAAAGATAAAGGGTAAATGGAAAGAAAGAAAGCTTGTAGTTAATGTTTTTTAGGTGTCAAGAATGTCTGGACAGGTTCCAAAATTGGGGTTAAGATACTGGAAATTAAGAGCGCGGAAATTAACGCTGCACTTGGTTAACGTCGCGGAAATTAACGCTCAAAAAAATTAACGCGACTTAAATTAACGCGAATTTTAACGATTCGCGTTAATTTCATGAAGCGTTAATTTCCTTTAATAAGGTAGCTTTGGCGCCGGCACGAAAACCATACCAGTCAGGGCTTCTGTTCAGGCACAAGAACCGTGATTTCGACGCAATATCTGTAACAGAGCGAAGCTGCTCCGCATCGATCTCTAAAGTGAAGAGTCACATATCAGATAGGTGTTCATACTAGTAATAGCCTAAATTGCCGCAGCGTAATACCTTGTGAATTCAGCCTGTCACCACGTCCCAACTGATGTATTCTTGTTGTAATTGGCTAACTGCAAAATCCTATCATCTGATCAACCATATCTTTCAATACTTCTTAGCAATTAATAAATATCTTTTACGTTGTTATTTTTTTTACCTGTTTAGAGTACGAAGCGTTGTATTTTTTGGCATACAGGTTTTTGCCATTTAGAGCACTCTGCGAAACACAACTTCCATTGCCGAACGGATCTTCCCTCTCTATAACGGTCTAAGGTCAAACAATAAAAATTACAAAGTTTCAAACTCATGATGAGAAGCCTCCTCGTTTCAGAACTATCCATTATTTCTGAACGTTATTTCTGAAAATTCTCTGTGTCTGTTGTTCACATTTGTAACAATAAAGCTGCACATGCTGAACTACGTTTGCAGTTGAACATAAGCGAAAATTAGTTCTTGGCCAGGCAATTTGAGTAAACTCGTCTCTCCCCTTCCATTTCACGGAATCTTGACCCTTGTGTATTTAAGAGGGAGGAGATGCCACTCTCCTAAAAAATGATGTAAGTCAGAATTGGAACTCTTTTCAATTAGCGGTTCATTTATTGACTTTATTCGTCAGACTTGGGTCAGACATATCTTAACATTTTAAGTGGTATTCCGTTACTATGGTTACGCGTTATGACGTCGGTCAAGCTACTTTTGAGGAAAATTCCAGATGGAACAGAACTAATTAAAGCATCGAAAAGCTAGCAGCAAAATGGCTTATAGTAGAACATATTTTAGACTCGAGCACGGAAAATCAAGACATTCTGAAAGGACATAAACCTGCACTTTCAGCAGGCTCGTTGATAAAGTTAATGAAATGGACTGTTCACAGTCCTCTATTTTTCCGTAAGATCGTCGAGATCGAGCGCTTTCCGTTACGGGCTGCTATCTTGCATGAGTTTCAAAACTACTTACGGCGCGGGGCTATAATCCCCAACGCCTGCCTCCTCGGTACATTTAAAAATCAAGATGGCCGCCATTAACGGTAAGGCGCGCTATATCTCGACGATCTCACGAAAAAATAGGGGACTGTAACCAGTTTATCAATGATAGTGGTTATCACAGCGTTGCCTACCCGCCGTATTCCAAATGATGTAGATCTGCTCGGAAGCACACTGTGGCCTTCATTGTAAGGAAAGGGAACTTGTCCTTGTTCGTGAATCACCACTCTAGCTCCTGCCGTGTCACTAATTTCGGGGATGTATTGAGACTGTTCTATGAACAAATTTAGTTTAAGTCCTAAAAACAGTAAGAGGAAACAGAGAACGATCTATCAACTGGAAGGCTATATTTTATGATACTGAGATGCAAATCCGTATTGTTTGTCTCCTGCCGGGGAAGGGAGGAGGGGAGAGTGGTTTTCTAATGAGTACAAACACTCCGGACAAGGCACACAGTCTGGCACAACCTATCATGAACTCTCACAATCGTCTTAAGACTGATTCATAACAGCGTCAGACAAAGCTTGGTATTATCGACAATGTTTGCAAATGACGTGATTGGCCATCGTCAAGAATAATTTAAATGGACGTTAATATTCCTAATTCCGGCTCCCTCTGATCAATTCAGCGCTCCACTAAACATTAGCGTGGTCCAAAAGGCATATACTTGCGCAGCTACTGAAACAAATGTTAGTCTTTAGCCGCCCCGTCTTACAATATTAGTCCTTTATTGCTGTATTTTCCAACACTACTAGACGAGCAGCTCTTGAAATAGCTATCTATAGAAATAAAATAGAGCTGTTTCCCGCCAAAAATACTCCTGATCGAGCAATAAATGAGACAACTGACTGACGATCAACGTTTTCAAACTAATCTTTTGATAAAATTAGACAATACAGTCGACTCTCTCTTAACGGACACCTCTGTAAGACGGTCCCTGCCTTTCTTTACTCCCTTTATTTGACTCGCTATAAGACGGACACCTCTCTAAGACAGACACTTAGTGCCAGTTCCAAAAGGTGTCCGTCTTAGAGAGAGTTGACTGTATGCTAAGAAAAGACATATTAATTACCGCCGGTTGGTCCCGTGACGTAAGATTGAAGGACCCGTTGTTTTTCGCCTTCATCATTGATTCCTCCATTGAATGTATAGCAGTTACCATACCGAGAATCCCAAAGGAAGTTCCAATATTTCGAATAGTTTCTGAAATTAAAGCGAAAGATCATACTTCATAACTTAAAAAACACATAACTTTGACTCATTATTACGCTTGCTATTAGAAAAATCAGAGTAGAAATACTTGATTTTTAATTATATTTATTACTTTAATGTAGAAGTGTGCCACTTATAAGTTCCGAGCAGTGCTATTCTCTTAATTGCAGAATTTTTATCGCACAGATCCTATCGTTAACTATCTTTATCTGATCTGATGTTCTGATCTCCTCTTATCCCCGTTACCACTAACTGGCTTATATATCTTAATGTATCGCAACTGTTTCATTGTAGACCGCGCACTACAGACCATGTGACATCTGGAAGTTCCTCAGAGACGGTATGCCTCTAATGCAGACAGAACTGATTGATTCATTGTTTAATCTGCAAGTGCTAAACGCCTTTTAGTAAAAGACAACATACTTGCAATCATATCCCCTGAAAGAACACTCGAATACCAAATCCTCAAACTGGTGCCCCATATCGAAGATGAAGGAATCGTTTTGAAGGGCCAGCTCAGCGCGAATAGCTTCTTCAATGGCGTATTCTTCATCTTTACTCTCTGCTCCAAAGCCATCGTTATAATAGTAATCATAATCGTAGTCATAGTCATAAAAGTAGTAGTCGTCATAATCGTAATTATACTCTCCTCCGTGGGGGAACGTAGTAGCGGCATTATCAGGGGTGCCCGTTGGTCCCGTTCCCCCTGGGTCTGTACCAGTGGTTACGTCATCGCCAGCTGTAGAAGTTGTAGCACTATCAGAGGCGGGATTTGTTGTAGCACCATTGGAGAACGCAGTAGCGTCAGTTTGAGAAGTCCCTGTGGGTGCATTTCCACTAGGGTTTGTAGCAGTGGTAACATCATTGTTTGGAGTAGTAATAGCTTCCTCTATTGTTGTAACGCTGCCAGGAGAAGAAGGATTTGCTGTTGATTCAGGCTGGCCTGTAGTGGCACCTAACAGAAGGGAGGCTGCGTGAGAACCGTTCGATTTCGTATCTTGTCCTATAACGAAAAAGAATCGCTAAGATGACTACACAAATAGTAAGATAGTTAAAAAAGCCTAATTCGAAGCTAAATTATAAGTGTGATGTTCACAATGGTAGGTATTTTGATTTATTTTTTAACCCTAAACCCCAACCGCCTAACTTGATTCTTGTTCCTTAAGAAAATTAGTCTGTATGGAATGATTACAGACCAAGATATTTCGCAGTACACGGCACGTCGAGCGTGCTGTTATCATAGTACATATATAGTTTATATTTTCTCTCGAACACTCTAGGCGAACAGATCCAAGGTCACCCCAGACCCAGGGGCAGTCAGTTGGGTGGGGGGAAAATTAGAACTGAGCTATGTAACGCATTTTGCTATTAATAAATAAAAGTTAAAAAAACAAGTTAAAAGTTTTAAACTTTAAAAAGATAAATCTAAATCAACAGAGTTATTAATTATAATGAAACGTCAGATATTGGGGACTATCCATACCTTCGCCTTTCAGTTCTTCTAGAAGTGTACTGATGAAGTCGTGGGGAAGCTTATCTAAACGGATCATGTTTAAATTGCAGATTGTTACGGCTGGAAAGCTAACACGCTATAAAGGGAGAAAAATACAGTTAAAAGTTTTAAAAAGCAGAAGAATTGTGAGAAAACAATCGTTTTGGCCCAACACGTCAAAAGTAGTTTTATGCAGCTCTTGTTCAACAAATGAGATTTTGAAAAGTGACTTTCAACAAATGGATCTATTTATTATCATTATTATCATTATCGTCATCATTATCATGATTATTATTTGTAGTGATAATATTTTCAAATTGTTATACAATTTCACGAGCCGTTAGGCCAATTTTGAAATGTCGATTTGTTCACGTACAAATCATTCTATTATTTGCTTATACGACTACCCGCAAAAGGTTTGTAATTTTCACATGTAGGTATTTCAAATTAAGCTGAAATACCACTGCTCTAAGCCAATCAAATTGCAGAAATTTCTCATGTAGTTGTATAATCATGATTATTATTAGTAATATTTTCATTGTTATTTTCCTTTTGAGTCGATTTGTTTGCATGATTCTTTTTCATATACATAAACAACAACAGTGAAAGGTTTTCAGAGTCTATTTTCGGTGAATTTTCTTTAATTAGGAAATCTACGGCAACAAACCGTCCATCATCATATTCTTCTCATCAATGATTCTCTCACAGACAACCGAGAGACCGAGATTTAGAGTCAGGTTAGTGGCAAACGACGAACATCGGATTGCACTTGACAATTCTCATATTAGGAAATGAGCTGACAAAAACTGTCCAGAATAATTCTTATCGATGAAACTTAGCCTGCGAAAACATCCGTTTCTCCTCGCTCTTCGCCGCTGGGGACGTTTCGCGCGGAGGAACGTCTGCGACTCAGCGACAGAAATTCCATACTGATGACGCAAAATCTGTCCGGAATCCGGTCAGAAGCGCTGATTGGTCGACGGAGTAGTTGCATTGTTTTAGCTTTTGTTTACGAATGACAGATAAAAGACAAAAGGCCACAAAGGTCAAATGTAAACTCGAAGAATCTCTAGCAAAACAGTGAATATTTGTGGAATATACTCTTCTCTAGAAGAAGCGTTTGAGTTTTGCTAGAGCTTGTTGGCAGACGAACACAACACTTTACCAAAATCGACCAAAGGACACGTAAAATTGGCCAAATTTGTATTTGGAACCCCATGACTACCGGATTTATTATGTAAACATTGATTTGCGTCATCAGTATGGAATTTCTGCCACTGAGTCGCAGACGTTCCTCCTCGCGAAACGTCCCCAGCGGCGAAGAGCGAGGAGAAACGGATGTTTTCGCAGGCTAGATGAAACTTGGCTGGCAAAAAAGCTACTGACTAATGTGTAGACGTGAGGAAAACTACAGTAAAACGACATTAAATCTCTCTAAATGCTCTCAACTTATAAGAGCACGCGAGAAAACACGGGGTTAAAAAGTAATAAAATTGTACCAAGCCTGGTACTGAAAATTGCAATAGGCCATAGTTTCACGTGTTGAATGTTGTTGAATTAGAGAATAAAGCTAGGCCTTATTTGGTCGTTTAGCAAGTTCAACTTGTTGAACAGCAAAGATTAAATTGTTTAATGCTTATCATCTAACAAGCTGCAACGTCGTTCAAATGTTGAACAAAACTATATTAAAATGTGTCAAGCTTATTGCAACAATCAACAACATGGCATGATACACATTAACATTTTTTTCTGCATTATTATTGGTATAAATTACTCAAAAATCGAAAGTTTTACACTTAATAATGTATACTTATAAAAAAATGCCTCATCACCAATAAACACACCCTGAACATTCTTTAAGTTCAGTGCAAAATTTTAAAATTACGAATAAGAAAGTTTACATACTAAAATGAAATATTTCAAGTGATACTGGATTATATTCCCCAATAGATTTTGAAAATCCCTCAGAGCAGGGTGAACCTAGTCAATAAATAATATCAATTCTGCCTCTGACGATCTGTTTGAAGACTTTGCATAACATCCAACAAGAGAGTGATGGTAACAACTTGCTTACAAACTTTTCCGTTGGTGTTAGAACGTGTCGGAGCTCTTTTTAAGTAAACTCCGAGTTTCAACGGTCTTTAAAATAACGTGTCTACCCATAAAAGCAACTGAATATTACTTAAATTTTCAGTTGCTTGACGTGAGGTAAATTTAGGAGATGATAAGATTGACACGGACAATAGTGTTATTTGTAAATTTACTGCGTTTCATTGATTTTTCCCAATATCACGAGCCGGATCCAAACTAACAACAAAATTCACTGGAAGTAGAAGAAAAAATATTGAATAAAAATATTGTTTCTCATTTCTCCAATAATTCAAATTATAAGAATAACGGGACTCCAAAATCAAATCTCAAACTAAAGCCGATTTGTAGTCTGCGCCGTCTCTATGTTACCTATGGATTTGCATTGCATCCATGGGTGACCGTAGGTGGTAACCCTAACCGTAACCGTTTATAGCATTAACCTGCTTTCTTTGTCTTTCACACTTACGCTTTCATGATGAACGTTTACCACTGTTGCCACAGGCCTACTCAAATAAATGAGAAAAAGATTCTTTATCTGGAGAACGAACATCACCAAAGCCCCGATGCAAAACAAGCTCCATGCTATTCGGCGAATAACATTGCGGCTTTCAGCCAATCTTCCAAGTCCATGTGCTGTTGTATAGCCACAAAAATTACTTAGAACTTGTTTAATTGACGGCTGCTTGCTAGCCACGTCTTTAGTGGAGTGGGCTTTTCCGTCCTTTTCCATCATCGTAGGATTGTCCGCTGTCGGCAAAAGATGAAACCTAAAGCGTAATAAGCCATGATATATTAAAAGGTTAGTTAATAATTTACTTTCTAAGATGTAAACATTGAATGGCGGCAAATTAAGCTGAAAAGTTTTCTGTGAGAGGCGTTTGGGTAGAATTTTTCTTTGTTTAGTGGGTAATAAGTCATAATGTATGCATTTTAACCATAATTTCATGTCAAGTCAATATAGTTCAAAAGTAGATCAAAATTTTACGTGAATAAGAAAAGTTGCTGCGTGTCTAACTTTGCATCGAAAACATGCAACAGCTAAAACAAATACGGGGTAAATATAAATAATAAAAATTGAGGGCCTGTATTTTGTCGCCTTGAATAGTTCAATGGTGCCGCTTCTACGTTCTCTCTCTGTCTTTTCAGTATCAGTCACTACTCATCTATCAAAAGCATCTTGCACTTTAGTGTTATAAACAGAAAAATTGACACAAATTTCAACTAAACAATAAATTAAACCACTGTCAGTAAACACTTGGACGCCCTCAGGAAATTTTTACTGAAACTTGGTACAAAATGTAATAAAAACAGTATTTGCTGTTGCTGCCGTACTAATGTAATTTTCCGGCTAAATCATCCGTCACAGTTATTTCGTACCGGTAGGCGAGGATTTCCCAGAATTAAAACAGAAAATGAATACTGCCACCAGGGCGGAATTGCTTGTAAGTACAGTCATCTATTTTTAATCACGTTTAAGACAGCATTATGGCTGTGGTCAAAAAGAAAAGAAAGATGAAAAAAATAATGAAAATAACATTTAACATGTAAGAGATCGCAAAAAGCAATAACGTCGATGGAATAAATTCAATTTAGACTGCTTTCATTGATGGTACCTACAAATATCCTACAGGTTTTTTTGTTGTTATTGTTTGTTTGTTTTTTCTTTCTGACACTGATGTTCACGGCTTGGTGGTGTTGCTTAATTCTTTCCAAAAATTGAACCTAGATAGTTCGGATAGGTTTTGAGTAATCTAGGTTTTGAGTCCCATTGACGAAAGAGTCGGGCCCCCATCTTGCGCAAGTGCGCGCACACTCTTTGTTTCACCACCCCCGCCCCCTAGTTCAATAGTTCAATTAGCTTTTTTTAACCAGCCGATCGTCTCGCGAACCATTCTCGTTCCCCGAGCCAAGACCACGTGACCAAAAGAAACAGCCCGCGAACTGTTCTTCAGAGTGTTAACCATTACAGATCCGTTCAGTTACAGACACCAATACACGAAAAAACTTTTTTTGGTAGATTAATGACCCATTATCTCCAACTAAACATGTTAAAAATTGTTTCCTTCATAAAAAGAGCTTACTGACTTAAGTTGATTGAAATTTAGAGAAATTACAAAACATGTTGAATTTTGATGAATCCTATGTAAACACCCGTGCCCAGTTTTTCGTGTCAGGTGTTGTGTTTTTGACTTTTTTTTTTAACCTGGTTTAATACCATGTTTAGTTGGTGTAATAGGGCACAGTAACAGAAAAATGACTTTTACTGAATGCTATGCAATTGCACTAAATTTCCCATCAATAAAGGTACACTGTAAGCATCACTGCCGGCTAGAATTCTAAACGCCGAAATGTTGGGATGTAGAGTAGCGTAGCCATCCGGATATACTTGAAGTTCTCGAGAGAAGAGAAAAGAGTTTCATTCGACTCATAAAAAGGGCTCGTTGTTAAGTGTTTGCTTTTTCTCTCACTTTTCTCACCACACTGTTCCGGTAAGACAGAACTGACCAGAATGACTTGATGCCAACTACTGTATGGTGTCCTCGCCCTGCTAGAGTGAGGAGTAGTTAACAGCAATAACCACAATCACGATTGATTTCATGCGATGAATTCTAGAACATTTGGAGATAGTCAAAGAAATGATAAAGGAAATTGAAATAAAAAAACATTACCAGCGAAAAAATTAAAAAACGTTGATTATTGTTAAATTTTAGTTTTTAAGGCAGGGATGATCAAATGAAGATAATCCTTAAATGTTTAAGTTCTTCGGCTTGATTTATATTGCTCTAGATTATATCCGGAAGTTGATCCTGAACAGCAATTATTTTTATGTTTAATTGTTGGCAAACTGAAGAATACACAGTACGTAAAAACGGACACAGTGTGCATAGAAATAAACATTAAGACTGTTTGGAAAGTACTTATCAACAACCAACATAAATCAAATAATCTAACACCGCGAAACTTACGGCCGATAAATTAAGAGATGATCTTAATCCATGTCCTCGCTCTCTATATTCTGCGGCAGGCTTAAACTTACCTAACGAACCACAGTTGTGTACCCTTGACTTGAATTATAGTGTCACCAGATTTTAAAAGTAATTACGTAAACGTCTCGTTACGTAATGTAATTCATTTGGTAGTTTATAATATATTATCCTTGTTGCAATTCAACTATGATCTTTCGGGTTTAGGTTATAAACTGTCACCGTAACACAAGATGTTCAAACATTAAACAACACTAGCAAAGAAGACGTAAAGGGGATATAAACATGAAATTATTTATGGACGTTCTACTCACGTTAATTTTGAATAGATCTGTGTATTCAAACACTTTTTCTCCTCAGCCTTGTCACCTAGATCAGCGGTAACAGAAAATTCGGACGATCTAATTTGCAGGTGTGCAGAAATGGGTGAAAGTGTCAGCTCCTCCAGCCTGACACAAACCGGACTGAAAAGGGGTACTTGCAACTTTCATATGTGAGATGATAAACCGCAATTCCAGTTTCTTATTGTGCAAGTTATTCAAGACAATCGTTACTGATAAAAAAGAAAAGAAGAAACAACTACGCGGTAGGTTATCCAGAACAAACAACAAGCTTTGGGGAACCTGTAGAGTTTTGCAGTGAAAAGACAATTTTGATTTAAAGTAAATAGCAACTGCTAAGTAAACCTACATACGTTCATTGATGTAATCACTTGTCCATCATGTTGAATTTGCTAAGGTCTAAGACCTAACGTGGTTTAAAAGGGCTATATCACTACCGGCTAGTTCATTTTGTTTATAATACCCGCTACACGTCCTTAGTCACTATGGAGCTGAATTACATGTAAATGACAAAATCACCAGGGTAAAATCACGTTTCGTGTAAAAATAATATCTTCTATGCGTTATATCAATCTATCAAATGTTACAACTGAACAACAAAAATGAACTTTAAAAAATTGTTAACTTATCAGGCTAACAAGTTTTTCAAAAACCACAATTGCAGTCCGTTTCAATCTTCTTCAAGTTTGTCCATTGGTGCCTTCTTCTATTTGCTGTGTCATTTATACTTTCTGTCAACGTTTTGAGCAGCAATTTTCATGTTTAACCCTTTAAGCCCCAATATCCACATACAAATTCTCCAAACTGATCGCTATATATTTCCTTAAAGAATGAGTTGAGAGAATTTGACAAAAGATCAAAACATTTTCTCATAGGTGATTATTTTATTAATTCTCATAACCTAGTCTCTTGACAATGTACGGATATCATTGGGAGAAATTGATGTTGGTCACTATCGGGACTTAAAGGGTTAACTCAATTTGATGGCAGTTCCCACCGTTTGAATCTTGATAAACGTTGTGAAACAGCTCCTTTAATTTAATTCTCGGTTTTCACATGACGCCATCAAAATTCAAACTAAGAAACTATCGATTCTTCTGAGTTTCTAAGTTTTATGAGGTATTACAGCACCTTAAACACCTTTATTTAAACAGAGTTTTGGTTCGAAAGGGTTCTTCGTTTTGCGATAGAGGACTTTTGAATTTCTAGGCTTTTGCTTGACGCGGCAATTAGCTGGCGGCCGGGACGGCTCTTCTGTGGGTTAAAAACATTACCAGTTTTGGGAGATTTTGCCATCTAAACATTCCTTGTCTCAGAATAAATATCACTTTAATAGTTCATGAGTTTTTTAAGCGATGAATTAACGCATTAGTAGGAAAACTCAAAAACAGATGTTTCTGTTAGTTTCCGGCGGCCATATTTGTGCCCCTCAAAGGGACACAAACATGGCGCCTCCATACAAAGCTTTTTAAATTTGGGTAAAACGTTTTTCCTAATATCTCGCATATGAAATATCGCACAGACCTGATTCTTGGCGAGGTCTTTTGCTTACATATAAAGGAGTACGATTTTTTCCAGCATTATACTCCATGAAAGATATATTTTTTCAGTGTAGGAATTTTTTTATTGCCAGGTACTTCCTTGCAAGAATTTTTTCTCCTCGAAATCAGTCTGCAGGATATTTTTTTTCTGAAGTCACCCATACCCCCCTAAAAAGTCAAATGTTCGGCTCCTTAGCTTGTATGTTTTGTTTTTCCAGTGTACTCAAGGTCATGTGATAATTGCTCTAGAGAACTGTTTCATTCAAATTTGGCGTTATTCCTGTGCATGTATTACGCAAAATTTATGAAAAGACAAAGAGGCAAATTTCCCTGAGACATTTATTGGGAAAACAAAACATCAGCGTCCGAAATTATTTTTAAAAGAATTGAAACGCGTAGGAGACAATAAAACAGTTTTACAACTCAAGTAGCACGCATTTTCCAAAGAAAAGTATCCAAAGTAAAATTTTACTCAGGGTGTAAACTTTCAGCACACTTTTGAAAGATGAACGTTTTGGAAGATTCATTAAACACAGATCGATAGTAGACCTTCAGCAAACTCTTAAATTTCTACACTTTACGAAAATTCAGCACACTTTTAAAGATGAACGATTTACGAAACCGCGTCAAAGTGAGGCAAAACGTAAGCAAGCCCCTCAAAGCGAGGCAAATAGGGAGTTTAGATACGGAGACTACGGACCACGGACTAAGGCTGGACGAGCGTTGTCCTTTGTTTGTAGCACTGGGTTGAGTCGGGCAAATATAGGACGTTAAGATTGCACTACAGACAGCAGATTACGAGAGAAGAGACGAATGACGAAGCTTCGAGGGAAACGCCGGGGATTTCAATTTGACATGTTCCCCGTCTTCTCGCGGCTCCGCCGTAGTAGTTTCTTGGTGTTGAGGAGAGGTGCAATCTCCAAATGATGTATAACAAAAGATTCAGTGAAAAGAACTGAAAAATAGCCACACCAAAAAAAGTGAAACAGCAATAGTCACCGCGTTCAAAACCAAGAAACACCAGTTAATCCCGCCAGCTACGTAGCCTCCCATCAATGCACGCGTTTCTCCCTCCACAGGTAGCCGAAGCTCGACATCAATAGGAAAACAACGGGAGCAAGAGACTGTCTCCCACCCTGAGTGTGAGTAATTTGAGTCTCAGGTCGTGTCGCTATGTTTCAACGGTAACGCGGAGTTCAAGTCGAACCTCAGTCAATGGCTTCAGACGGGAAAGGTTGTAGAGATTTGCGACCTTTGATTCGCTCTCGGTGCAAAGGAGTCTTGAAGCAAGATAACGAATGGAAAGAAAAACTATCGTGTGTTACGTAGGCGGAATTTGGAGGCGATTGGAGCAGTTGGAGCGAAGTTCCGGCCGTTTTCCTTCGGTGGATCAGTCGCGCCGCTTCGCTGGAGTGCCCAACCTTGGTAAACCTTTATATAGAGAGAAATTGACAAAACGGCCATAAATCGGCCCGTGGACCACAAAGGAGAGATGTTACACACATTTTAAGTAAGGTAAGCTGCTGTATTTTATTGAAATCCTTTCATTTTTGTAGGTCACAGAAACAATAGGTTTTTTTCCCCATACAAATCCTTATATTTTGAATGTTACGCAAAATTTCGAGCTTGGGCTACCTGTGCTCCCACACGTCAGGGCAGGAATGTCAGACGAAGCCGTGGGAGGCTAAACAATTGCATTCCCGAGAGCCTTTGCAATGTTGTTTTGTAGCGAAGGAAAACGTCGATAAGCGAATTAGTTCGTGAAGATTTCAGCGATGAAATCGAACAATGTTCTTGACTTATTAAGCGTTCCTGTCGTCCGTTAAGCGAAGACTGTCTTGGATGCTACTGGTATCGGTCATTCCATCTCAGTCAGAGGACATAAAAGACTGCTCTCGGGCAGCTGGAATAGTCGGCGTCTTAGTTCTGTTTTTTTTTTTTCTGGAGGAAGATACGACCAGTCGGTCAGCATTTTCAAGGTACTCGTATGCAGAAATAGCTTGATATTGGACAGTTCTTTTTAGGACTTAATGACAATATTGCTACTTTCTCAGCTTCAGTGAGTCTTCAGTGATCTATTCTGTGTTGGCGGACAGCAAAAACCATAGAATATTCGACCATAAAATACTGCTTCCGCCTTTGTGGGAGCAGTGCACTTGGTAAGTTTTTCAGAGCTTCTTTATTTAGTCGAACTGCGTATGCTTTAATCTTTTTCAAAATACATACAATAACTAATACAGTTGACTGCATGCGAATGTTAACGTCTCTGTTACATGTCCTAAACTGAATATTTAATGCGTTGCAATCACTAAATGCGTACAAGGTTTGCAAAGGTGTAAAGTATACAAAGGTCCGTGTAATAATATGATAATAACATGTTGGCGCAACGAAGCATGTGATACGTAGTTGTGTAACACGAACGTTTCACTGTAGTACACCATTAAATACGAAATCAACTACTATCCCAAGTAAAGTTATTTTATCGTTCCTGAAGATGTCTCAATGTCAAATTCTATCCACTCAGACGCTGCGATCAGCTTTCACCCCAGACTTTTATAAGAGTAAAGTTGGATTATGAATTTGGAGTAATAACTGTGTGGTCCGATACAATCGAATGATCAGTCAGAATTTATAATCAGTAAATATTGCCCCATGAAAAGGAATCGGGGAAGTTTTTGCTGGTGGAATCCAAAATCCAGAAAATTTTAGTTGTGGAATCTGGAATTCTGGTCTGTGGAATCCGGAATACTGGTCAAGGAATCTGGAATCCCAATGGATTTCAGAATCCAAGTTCACTGAAAAAGAATCCAGAATCAAGTACCTGGACCCGGATTCCACGGCGTGGAATCTAGAATCCAAGACTGTCTTAGATTCTCTTACATGGGCGAGTAACACATGGATGTAACATCATGAAGACAAAGAAGCTAAACAATGTGGTTAAACTAAGCACTAGATATCCGATCTGTTTCACGGCAAGAAATATGGTATTCACCGTCTCGGAAAACCCTCGCTTAATTTTCGAAAACGCAGCATTTTGCTAACGTTCTCCCGCGTTTTCCGGTCGTAAAATCCACTCTTTTTCCGTCCTTTTCCGGCCGGTGAATTTAAGTATTGGTTCCATTATCCGATAGTTTTCAGGCTCAGTTAACACTAGGAAAATAAGTGCATTCGATACTGAAAACGGCGCATTTTCCTGGAGAAAAAGTTTTGAAACGATGGAAAACATCTCATTAACCAATGGGTGAACGTTGGGGAACATGCTGTTTCCCGGCATTTTCTAGTTGTTCGCTGCCCCAGAAAACCCGAGAAAACTCATGCAGAATGATGGAAAACTTGTGTGAATTCTTTATTTTGCCTCTTGAAAACACCAGAAAACACCAAAAGACGCGATGTTAAGTCACTGGAAAATGGCGGTGAACAACGTAATACGATCCGTTCCTCATGTGTTAACCATATCTTCTCTGTGTGCTTTGCTTGTATTAGCCGTGCGTTAACGGTCCGGTTAACACCAGTAAAACAAGCATTTTCGCGCATCTTCTACGTTTCCAGTGTGATCTTATGCGGGAATGTAACTTAGTCCTTTATTCACTGGTGTTTTCGTTCAAAATTTAACATTCGCTGTTGCAGTTTTGTTTTTCCCGGCACCCGCCATAGGTGCTTTAAACGACATACAAATACTTCGATTCTCTCCCAAGGAAACAGCAGGAAAATAAGTGCATTCGATACTGAAAACGGCGCATTTTCCTGGAGAAAAAGTTTTGAAACGATGGAAAACATCTCATTAACCAATGGGTGAACGTTGGGGAACATGCTGTTTCCCGGCATTTTCTAGTTGTTCGCTGCCCCAGAAAACCCGAGAAAACTCATGTAGAATGACGGAAAACTTCTGTGAATTCTTTGTTTTGCCTCTTGAAAACACCAGAAAACACCAAAAGACGCGATGTTAAGTCACTGGAAAATGGCGGTGAACAACGGAATACGATCCGTTCCTCATGTGTTAACCATATGTTTTCTGTGTGCTTTGCTTGTATTAGCCGTGCGTTAACGGTCCGGTTAACACCAGTAAAACAAGCATTTTCGCGCATCTTCTACGTTTCCAGTGTGATCTTATGCGGGAATGTAACTTAGTCCTTTATTCACTGGTGTTTTCGTTCAAAATTT